CATACACACCTATTCATAACATCATCTTTATGATCAGTTTTTGGCTAGTTTTATTTCTGTAGTCATCGACATTCACTTCAGGGAATGAAGGAGAACTATTTTAGTTCACCAATGAAAAACATTACTTGTCGAGATCATACCTTCTCCTCTCAAAATAGAGTTTTTGACCGATCATAATAAAATTTTGATCAAATATATAAAATGACCAGACTCTATCTATGGTCAAGTATTCTATTTTAAGGTCATCAACAACAAAAATGATCAGACTATATATATTAATAGATATTAGTCATATAAAAATAAGGAAGTCAATATATAATCATCAGAAGGCAAACATAATATAATTCTATTCAGATTGAATTAAAACGGATGAAGCAAGTCATGCGACTTCAGAATATAGATATGTTTGCTGATGGTTTCAAATTCCAAAAACAAAATTTCAGTATGATGGAATTTCAATTATAAAATTCATGATTATGAACTCATATCAACAATTCTCAAAATAATAAACAGCAAATGTCAAAATGAAGTAAACTATCAAGTTCGTTCAGTAGTGGTGGTAAAAATCAAACCAACGACATCAAACCCAAACATTAGAATATATGGCTAACCGATAAACAAGAGGAGATGATGCAACCTATTAATAAAAATTCTTCTTATGGCTCGATATATAAGATCAAGTTCCTTTTTCTTTTTGGGTAAAGTATCAACATTCATAAGTGAATTCTGTAAAATTCAGAACTTAAATCAAATAAGATCATAGACCAGCAAGCATCTAGGTGAACATATTAAATCTTAATTCCAAGTTCATTGATACTAAAGCATCGTTTAACTTATTAATCAAAACAATAGTACTCAAGATGGTTTATGATTATGAAACAAGCTACGGTCAAATTACATGTACACCAAAGCCTCGAATATTTCATCATGTTGTACACCAAGAAAATATGAACAAACAGTTTATAAATTCAAAGAATATTATGGTGAGACAGTAGTTAAACATATTAAATCAGATTATATTCTTATGATTTTATCAATATTGCAAATCAATATTTAAATATTACTTGATCTATAGTTTGCTGTGATTATTTGCTAATATTAATAAAGCATAAATATTCACTTATCTCGATGATTGGAGAGAATGAATTCTGACTTACGGGTACGACATCCAGAAACTGAGAAAGTGTTAGCTTAGGCTTTGCTCAGAATTGTACAAGTTTGTGCGCTCGACATCATTATCTATTAAAAATTGAATAATCAAACTGATGAGTATTTGAAAGAAAATCCAAACAACATGGTCAACTTATTATGTTAAAATAGAGAACTCAACTAGATCAAATAAACGATTCATCACCAATGACCAATCAAATATTCTTAGATATAATAGATCAAATGCTATACCAAATCAATTGACCAAACAAAATAAGGAATTCAAAATGCTTTACGATTATGAAATAAGCTAGGACCATATGGCATGTAATATAGATTATGTATTTCTTAATTACTTTGAAGACATTCACAAATATGCGTGACAAAATACTACTTAAATATAACTTTCAAGTTTATATAAAAAGAACATGCATTCAAACATGGCTCACAAACAGACAGATCTCGTCAAAGCAATGACTCATGTGCGTAGGGAAACATGGTAATATATCAAACCATATTCATGTCTCGATTAAATAAATCATGTATAAATCTATAAAGCAATAGATTAAAAGGATGATATAGTTAGATGTAATATATGGTACTTATCTTTGATAATGATGGAGAGTGGAGCATACGACGAGCTACATACGGCGGAGTCGAATAACTCAAACAAAGTGGGTTAGGGTTTTACTCATACGGCTACTGTTTTGTGTTTACTCAGTGGCTAGGGTTTTAACCTAATAAAGAGACTCGTGCTGATAACGTGTTATAGTAAGAAGAGAGAACAAGAGAAGAGAGGAATTGGTTGTGTCTTATTCCATTAGTAATGAGCTTCTTATATAGGATTACAATATAGGGTTTTCCTTGGAGAGGAATACACTTGGAAAACAAGCTAGAACATTCTAGAATATGAACCGATAATGGGCTTCCATATAAACTAGTTATAACAGCAATTAGCTTTTTCTTTTTCTAAATCGAAACAGTCAAGTGATTTGATCGTTCAGACGAGTGCCTAAATGCTTAGACGGTCAATTTTTATGACAGTGGTTTAATATACCGAAAATGAGCTATTTACATTAGTAGTCATTTATAGTCAAAACGACTATTTAAACCTAATCATCATAACTAATAAAAATTTATCATATGATACCCATTATTATGACCACCATGATTACAATTATTATGATGTTAACACATGCCTCAGGAACCAAAAATAGAGATATTAATTTCCTTACTTACTTCCACTTACGGTTAAATGTTTTTGTATCTTCTCATTCCCTTTATAGAGAGAGAAAAAGTGGACATTAATTAAACTTTTTCATCACCAAAAATCAAAAATTACTCTTTCTGTCCCGTAATTTGGTTTTAACTTACTCATACAATATCTAAGATCACATAAAATTTGACTAGAGATATAACCAAAATAAAATACTTTATCTCATCTCGAGGTCATGCTTGACGAATTCATAATTGAAAAGGGGTTCCATAAACTTTCGATACATTTGGTGGGAAATGTTTACTTATCAGCTTCTTTTGCTGACAATGGAATCCACGAAAACTTTGACTCTATGCTTCTATAAACATCCACATACATACTTTTATATATGCGCGTAGGTATAAATAAGCGTATGGATATAAATACACCCATCATATTTCCTTCGGAGACAGTTAATTTTTGTTTATTAGATATTTTTTTTAACTTATCACATAACAAAATTAACATTACACGTAAGAACATAAACACCGTTTTTTGGTAATGTAAAACTATATTTTGACAAAAATACTTTAAACATAAACTCCTAATATTGCATCATCACTAATAATTATCTTGACACTTTACTAATACGTCAGACTGTTACATAATATAAGTGTACAAATCCAAGAAAACATTAAACTTGTTGGGTCCCAAATGCATGTTTCACCTGATCACCTATGAAAGATCATGGATTCAATTTCAAATTCTTCTAAACTTGTGTAAAATATAGCGTTTTTAGAAGCATGTTTACTTCTCATAAAGTTAATTACAGAAAATGTGTGACCTGTAGAATGAATCCTACCTAGCTATTGCTGCTTTAGTTGTCCTGGGAACGTCCTAGACCAAATATGCTTGGGGTCGGGGGAGAAGAAGCATTTTACGGGAAGATCTGCTTCAATGTTTTTCATTTCTTATATCTACTATATATCATAAGAGGGGAAAAAGTAAAATAAAAGCAATGTGAAACAGTGTAAGTCCACTTAGATTAAAAATATGACTCCGCCAGATCTTTTGTAATCCCGATTTAAAAATAGGAATCAAGAATCATGTACAAAGATATGCATCATATTTTAAGAAATGAATTTAGTACTCTCAAGTGCACACACTGGTCTTTACACTAAGAAAATAATAGTTAGATCAAGGCTAGCTAGTAGTCAAATGGTTTGCAGTAGTACCGTTCGTCTCAAAGACAATGTTTTTGTCGGCATAGTCAATGTTTAAATCTGAAAATATGAGTGTATCAATATTATATAGTCGACAAGCAAAAAAAAATTGTTTATAGTTTCAACCTAGATATTGATAAATATTCTTTTCTACTCGTGATCAAGGTCCACAATATTTGGTATTATATACTTACAAACATGATACATAATGAAACGTATATATACCAAGAAAACTGAATGTGGAAAATTGGAAATATAGCACTCGGTTTCCGCTCTTCTCGGTGTAATGTGAAATCGGTGCAATGTAAAAGACATTACTCTTGTAGTCTTGTGTCGTCTTGGGTACAAGACAAGAAATGCTGTTGTATCCAAAGACAATACGATAGAAGAAAACAAAACTACTTTAAGAGAATGAGACTCCGAGACAGTAAGTACGTAAACCGACATTGGTCATTGCGCGAAACCCTAGAGTCTAGAGAGTAGAGGAATGTTCATTGAGTAGAAAGAGTAAACAAATTTGAAAGCATATTGGAAAAACAGTCTTTTTATATTTATATGTCTTATCAAATAGTTCGATCATCGTGATGTAAAAATAATCCGTTGACGTGTACCTAAGTTTATGAATTCTTCTTAACTTAGCATCAAAATTTTGACTGAATTATTCGTATGGTGAAATCATTTTTTTTTTTTGTTAAAATAAATAAATCATTTTCTCATAACTAAGACTTAGTTGGCATTTGGCATATAATTATTATAGTTTGAAAACTATATAATATTCAATTTATTAGGCGTAAATCTTTTTTTTTTTTTTTTTTTTTTTTTTTTGGATAAAGCAGGCGTAAACCATATTTTCCAAATAAGATCGAACTGACTAACTGAGGATGCAAGGCTTAATCTTCTTCAAAGGGACTTAACCAACGACAATAGACCACTAACATAGTAACATCTTAATAATCGATAGATGCAATCATCTAGATCTTTAAAATTTTAGGTTTTGTAATTTGATAATTTTCGGTGTTAATGACTTAACTCATTTTTAATAGGGTGATAAAAGTCTTAAAAGTAAAAAAATAAATCAAATCATACTTTTTTATGTGTTCCTAATAAGTGGTATCCATTTTACATTATACAATTTTTTCCCTTTCAAAAACGAATAAACATCAAATATATTTTCGGTGGGGTTTGAACTTTTTGTAGAATATGTTGGGTATATTGAAGATAAAAGAAGTTGAAAGCTCTCTATATGACAGGCATATGCTTCCTTTAAGCAGTCCATGAAGTTTCACTACTTTATAGTTTATACCTCTCTCTCTCCCTTGTTTCTTCCATTGAACCATTCACTAAACCCATTCTCTTCCTCTCTTCTCTCTCTCTCTCTCCTCATACTTGTTTCAGATAATCAAAAATTATTTTAAGCTTGAATTTGTACGATAATGGACCAAAGCAATGCTCTTCTTACCTGGACTTACTTCTCTCATGGAAAGGTGACATTTTTATCACAACATTTTGGTTTCCTCTGTTTCTTTAAACACTCAGTGATGGTGTTTTTGCCTTTTTCTTTCATTTGGTCACTATTCTGCTTAGATCTATGCATAATGTGTGTCTAAAAACCAGAACTTTATTGTGGTTTTTTCACTGTCTCCTTCTTCGTCTGTATAACAAAACCCTAATTTTGACTCAATTGCTGCTTTAAATGTCAATTTCGCTTAATTCATTTCATGGGTTTCGAATTACATTGATGTTTATTACACTTGCTCGAGAATTCGGACAAAGGGTGCTTAATTTCGCATTTTGAGTGTTCTTAGTTCTGCATTTGGATGAGTTTTCCTCGATGGGTTTTGAAATCGGACAAAATCCCAAAATTTTAGCTCAATTTTCGCATTTTAGCTGAAAAAGACAAGATTTTGGGGATAATTGTTGTGTCTGCGCGCCTAATTTGTGACCAAAACCCTAATTTTGATATGAATGCTCAAATTTAGGGGTTTCCCTGTTCCTCTGTTTTTGATTGTTTTTCTGCTGAATTCTTCAGACAGCGGAAGAGCTAAGACAGACACTTGTCTACACGACGCTAGAGCTAGAACAAACGAAGCTCGTAGCTCAAGAGGAACTAAGGAAGAGAGATGAACAACTGATCCATCTCGAGGATGTTCTAACCAAAACCCTCAAAGAAAGAGACGAAGCTGTCGAGAAATGTCAGAATCTCCTCTTCGACAATCTCTTGCTTCAACAACAGAAACAGAGTCAGAATCAGAATCATATCACTCCTCCTTTATCAGGAGCTTCAAGCATTGACGACGAGCAGCTTCAACCACGGCAGCAGCAACAGCAACAGCAACAGCAGCAGAACCTCAACTCAAACAAGAGCTTTTCGTCTTCAGACACCGAAGAAAGCATCATGTCTCCATCAGTCATCGATCCGGTGACGACGATGAACCAAGCTTCTCAGGGTGAGATAATGGCTTCATTGTTGCTTGAAAAGCCACTCCCTGAGAAGGGAAATCTCTTACAAGCTGTTCTCAAGGCAGGTCCTTTGCTTCAGACACTACTCTTAGCCGGTCCTCTGCCTCAGTGGCGCCATCCACCACCGCCACTCGAGACCTCTGAGATCCCTCTGGTAACCGTCCCACCACCGCAGTTTCGGAGCTCAATTGTCAACAATGGATGTGGGAATTCAAACAAGAAAAGAGCATTCTCAAGCTCAGATGGGTCTTGTTCAGAAACTAAGTATCAGAAAGTTTAACCATCCTTACTCAACAAAAGATACTAATAGTCTTCTAATATACCATATACAGAGACCACTTTCTTATAGTATTAATCTTCACTTAGGGTTCTAGTGAGACTGTAAGAGCGATCTTTTTAGTCAGTTTTATGTTGATAGGGCTTGATTTTTTGTTTTTTTACTTCTGAATTTGTGGAGAGTGAATCTGATCCATTTAGGGTTTAGATCTAGAGTGTTGATGGGAATGAAACTCCCCTGGTTTTAACTCAAACTCAAAGCAAGAGTTTTTTAGTTTTTACCAAGTGAGAGAGTTTTGCTTTTGTTTTGTGGTTGTTTGCTTATGGATTTTTGTTTACCAAATCCAGTTTCACATCCATGTTTTGGCTCCATGAATGTTAAAATTATTGGGTTTTCATTTTTACCTCTTATTTGTAATCCATGAATGTAAAATGCTAGATGTTAAAGCTGAATCCCTTGTATTTTTATTGGAATGTGATGTGTTTTTTTTAGTGATTTGACTCTTTTGAGTAAGAGTGAAGAGGTTTATGTATCTGTTGGGGGGTGATTAATTAATTTTGAAACTTCAAGGTATATTCATTACAAAAGGTTTTGTTTAGGGTATAAAAGGCAATATTGAAATATTTTGTTGATGGGTGGGAAGTGGTGGGAACTGGGAACCGGAAAATCGATGGGTAAGCCAACAACTAGAAGAGATTGATGTTTTATTTTTGTGGGTCCTGAAGATCTAAAACCGGATCTTCTGTCTATGTGTTAAAAGCTAGAGGTATAAAATATAATCATATGGGCCTCTAGAGAGTGTAATCTGGTTATTGCAACTTTTGATCTATCAAAACCATATTATCATATGGAAAAACAAAAATCAGGATATCATAACAGATAGAGAAATATTTTAAGTATATATTTGTATTTACTATTTCCTATATCCCAAAATATAATATAAACAATTCTCTTTTGAAAATTAACAAAGGAAAACTGTTTATATTTTGGGATAGAGGGGTATATAGTTTTGAGACACTGTTTTGGTGGTTTTTTTAAAATTTTCCATCATTTAAGTTAGTAAAAAGATAGTGGGCAGTTAGTTGGTCGGAAACTAGAAGTTGAAAAACAGCAAGTGAGATATATAATACTGGAAATAATTTAGAGTATATTTAGATTGTATAGATTTCACTTCACAAACGGTTTTTATGGTCCACAACACTTGATTTGCAAGTTACACTTTCCCAGTTAACTCCAATACATGTTTACAATCTTATTACAATTGAAAACAATTTGTAACGAATTGTAAAGAAACGAAAGTGCTACGAAATTACATGCATACCGTCATTGGTAATTTGGTATTGCAACATGACATATGGGCTACATGGCTGTGCTGTAACGGTAGTATCATATATACTTACAAGTTACAAGATCATACCAAAAATATATACTTACAAGATACAGCTAAAAAAAGAAAAAAAGAATTATATAATATTCTTTTGTATGCATTTTATTAATATATCTTCAAGTACTAGTTATGATTTATTATGCTTAAGAGAAAAGTTAAGAGTGGGTTATACTATAGGCTGTGTAGTGTGTACTCTACTAATGGTCTCCTCCTTAAAGTGAAAGGCGAAAAACTTGGTGTTGCTTAGAATTTATTTCAACCAATTATACTACTTTTTCTTTTTTCCAGACAAGAAAAATTTCGATTGTACGAGAAAATCTTGATTTTCCTCTCTTTTGAACCCCTGTAATGTCATGATTAATATGCTTATTCTTTTTTGGCAATATATAATAATATTAGTACATATACATAAAGTTCCTATGAAGGTAAATTTTAAAATACTAGTGTTTGTAACTTTGTAATATCTCTTTAGCAAAACTTTGTAATATCTCAAATTTAAATAAAATGATTTCTTCCTCGAATTTTTTTCTTTTGCATCTCGGGCCTTTTGCTTGAGATGCATATTCCTCCTAAATATTCCGAGACCTGATATTCAGAAATGGCAAATTCTTCAACCAAATCCGAAGCCAAATTTATCCAAATTTGCCTGTGGAATATTAGTATAGTGGAACAAATTAATAAATTGGTCCATTGACCATGGATAGAATAAGTCTATCAAAACTGGTTCATGAGTTTTTCACAAATAAAATTAATAAATTTTCCATAGTTTTTTTTTACATGGACTAAAAGAATTTATGGTTTGTGGCATTGCTTATACAACTATTATTTTAAAATGCCAATTTAGATAAGAATCTATTAAAGTAAGATTAGTATTGTTTAGTTTTTTTTTTTTTTTCTAATAAGAAAATTAAAGAAACAAAAGGCGTATCTAAACTTTGATTTTTACTATTTGAGTTTAACTATTGTGTTTAGTGTCGCCTGGTATCGTAAATTCGGATTGCAAGATATCTAGACCTAAAGTTGGGATCCCACAGACAGTTTGCGCAAATTTAGGTAAAACATTGTAATCAAACAAACTTCAGGATTACGTGGCAGAATAAAACCTCAGGATTCACGTCTTTTATCGAGAAAAATGATAGAAATGTTAGATTCTTTTTTCCTCTCTGGATTTTGTCTTTTCTAAATTGGAAATTCCATTGATTCAAGAGGGACTATGCTTCCTAAATTTATTGTTTCAGTTCAATGTCTAATGTTCAGCGTGTATATTTATATATGTACAGGTTTTCCAACTCCAAATCAAGCATGTTGCTGGCAAAATCATAAGCGATGAAATCTAACTTCTTCTGCCACTAAATAAATCTTATTAAAAACAGATACTTATTAAAGACAAAAAAAACTAAACACCAAAAATCAAAACCCAAATTAAAAGACTCAAACTCTATTTATAACTACAAACAAAAAAACAAACAATCTTTTAACCCAAATTCTAGGGTTTCGCTAGTTTCTTGGCCTATATTCATGAACACGACAACCTACATTGGCGATTGCCGACAATCATTTTTCAACATCTCTTCTAATGGATTTTGGGAGACCCTACAGTCACCCGATGTGGTTTTCGGGTACTCGCTGCCTCTTTTGGAGATTCAGATATTACTCATATTCTTCGTCATCGTCATGACTCACATGTTCCTCAAACGCATCGGTATTTCACAGATTGCTTCCCATATGCTCGTAAGTTCCATTCCATATGTAACATGATAAGCACAATAATACACCGGTAATTGTTAGAAAACAAAACTATATGTAACTTGACATGCAAGTAAATTGTTTAAGACAACCTATGCGTGTTCAAGATAGTTTTTTTTGTTTCTGTTTTTCTCTCATAATTTAACGTATACGTAAAATTTATATGTAGGCTGGATTGATTCTAGGACCCCAGCTCTTTGACCTACTGGAGAAATCTTCAGGGAAACTATCTGTGGATCCTGCGTTAGATGGAAACGCAGCGTTAAGATGCATATCGGTATTTGGAACGTTAATGTTTACGTTTTTGATGACTGTTAGAACCAGTCGGCGAGTGGCGTTCAATAGCGGAAAACTGCCAGTTGTGATCGGGATCTCTTCATTCGTTGTTCCTCTGTTCAGTCTCCTTTTCCAGAACTTCTTCTCCGGCAGCATCGACCCTAACTACATGACTCCAAAAACAGCCATAGGCGAACGAACAGTGATCATCATTACCCAGTCTGCGATACTTTTGCCTTCCATAGCATATATCTTGCTAGAGCTCAAGATCCTCAACTCCGAGATCGGTCGACTTGCACTGTCTGCATGTGTCATCAACGATATCCTTGGGATCATTTCCATAGCACTTGCCTCTGCTCAAGCAACGTACTTGAATGTTTCCGAAATGAAAGCCTATCGTGACGCTCTGGCACTGGTCATCTTCGTTATCGTCGTCTTTCTTGTTTTTAAGCCGATCGTGCAACGGATCATAGACCGCACACCGCAAGGCAAGCCAGTGAAAGATATGTACGTTCACGCTGTGATGCTGGTCGCATTAGGTTCCTCTGTTTATTCTGTGATATTCAACATGAAATATGTCATGGGACCGTTATTGATAGGGCTCGTCATACCGGAGGGTCCACCATTAGGATCTGCCCTGGAGGCCAAGTACGATAAGCTCACGATGAACGTGTTTTTACCAATCTCGATCACAGTCAGTGCGATGAGATGTGACGGAATAAGGATGTTCACCGAGTTTGGTCACATCATGTACAATGTCTTCCTAACGGTTTTAACGCTCGTCCTAAAAATGGTCGCATGCCTTGCACCTTGCTTGTATTACAAGTTACCTCTCAACGAATCCCTGGCTGTTTCCATCATTTTGAGCTACAAAAGTTTCTTCGATTTCGTTCTCTATGAATCTGTATTTGACGACTCGGTAACCTTCTAGCCTAAAAAAGCAATCTAACCGACTTTGACCGTGTTTGTGACATATTTTTTTCTGTCGTTTGATTTTGCAGTATATATCGGAGGCAACGTACGCGTTCTTGGTCGTTTACTCGTTGCTTAACGCCGGGATTGCGCCTATAGTCTTAAGGAGCTTGTACGATCCGAAACGGAAGTACCTTAACTACCAGAAAAGAAACATACTGAATCTGACGCCTAACTCCGAGCTCCGAATTCTAACTTGTTTGCATAGACCTGAGAACGTCTCTGAGGCCATTGGCTTCCTCCAACTCTTGTCCTCACCGAACCTAGACTTCCCTATAGCGGTCACGGTTCTCCACCTCGTGAAGCTTGTGGGTCAGATCAACCCCGTTCTTGTCTCGCATAACAAGAAGTCGAAATCGCTTTCAAATAACTCATTCATCCATACCGCAAACCTTGCCTTCAGGCAGTTCATGCTAGAAAGCTTGAAGTCTGTAACCGTGACCACGTTCAACGCATTCTCGCATGAGAAGATGATGCATGAGGACATTTGCACACTCGCTCTTGACCAGATAACGTCGATGATTATCGTCCCGTCGGGGAGGAGATGGGCCATAGATGGGATGTTCGAGTCAGATGATGATGCCATAAGGCGTCTTAACCATTCGTTGCTCGAAAGTTCTCCTTGTTCTATAGGAATACTAATCGATCGTGGACAGTTCTCACGTAGAAGCAACATATTAGTTGGCAAGAAAAAGTCCATCATCAATGTTGGTGTGATTTTCATCGGAGGCAAAGATGATCGGGAGGCCCTATCGCTGGTGAAGAGGATGATACATAACACTAGGGTTTGTGTAACCGTGATCCGATTCGTCTTTAACAATGAAATAGAGCCAGAGAATTGGGAGTACATTCTTGATAACGAAGGCTTAAAGGAATTTAAGTTTTCACAGGAGACATGCAATGTTGGTTATATGGAAAGGACTGTGACCAATAGTGCTGAGGTGGCCAGCACCGTCCGATCTCTCGCAGAAGAGTATGATTTTTTGGTGGTCGGGAGAGATCAAGGTATGGCATCACCGGACTTCTCAGGAATGATGGAATGGGTAGAGCTTCCAGAGTTAGGTGTCATCGGAGATTTGTTAGCAGCTAAAGAGCTTAGCTCTCAGGTCTCTGTTTTGGTAGTTCAGGATCAACAACAGGCGTGACAAATACAAGATTGTGTACTTTTTTTAGGAAAAGGGTGTAAAATATTTAACATCTATACATAGTTTGATTTAAAAAATGATATATAGTTCATTGGTTTATTTTATTTAAAAAATTGTATATATAATTTTGGTTTTCCTTCTCTTCACATGAGAAACAATCAACTATGACTATTTTTAAGCAGAGCAATAAAGTATACTCTAGAATTTGTAATGTATCCTGTTTTTTCTAAATAAGAGGGTAGTTTGTGAAGTCTTAATCTTGAATAAAGTATCACAACACAAACTCATACAAACGTAACATGGTCATCTAACAATCACAAGTTATTGCAATGGAGGTTGGATTGAGGATGTTCTAGGTAGAAACTCTACAACTGGATCTTGCATATTTGTATATGAGGAATTTTGTTTTGGTTAAATAACCTAAACATAACATTGGCTATTTATTAATTAAAAAAAAAAATTAAAAACGTTATTTTGCAAAGTTTTGAGTTTTGACATACAGAAATTCAAAGCCAATGGCTCTAATATGATTTGACTATTTGGAAAAACCTAAACTTGGGTCCTCGAACACTTTGCGCTAATTTTAGGGAATAATTGTATCAGACCTCAGGCTTACATTTTTAATTAGCGAAGCAAATTCTTTTAGATTATATATAAGAACAAGAAAAGGCAAATTCTCCATGTTCCCATATTCACGTTTTTTAACGAACAAAATGGTAGAAGTATTAGTTCTTTTTGTGGATCTTTTTTCTAAATTGGAAGTTCCATCAATTCCAGAGAGATTATATTTTTAAAACAGGTCAACGTGTATTTTTATAGATGTACAGATTTTCCAGCTCCAAACAAGCAAATCATAAGCGCTAAAATCCTCTAACACTAAATAAATTCTGTAAAAATAGATACTTAGAAAGACCAAGATAAACTTTTTTTTTTTTTTTTTGTGTGGAAACTTGAAACTAATCAACAAAATTACACGACTCCTTTCAAAACCCAATTTCAAAGACTCAAACATTTCTCTTCCAAAATTCAACACTTTGGCTAGTTTCTTGACCTTATATCCCATGAACATGACCACGTACAAAGCCCTTTAACAAAAAGAAAAACATGACCACCTACATTGACGGTTGCCGACCATCATACTTCAACGTCTCTTCTAATGGACTTTGGGAGAACCTTAAATCGCCCGATGTGATTTTCGGGTATTCGCTGCCTCTCCTGGAAATTCAGATATTACTCATATTCTTCTTCATTGTCATGTGTCACATGTCCCTCAGATGCATCGGCATTCCACTGATCGCTTCCCATATGATCGTAAGCAGCCTTCCATATGTAACTTGACAAAGACATTAAGAAACTGGTAATTACTAGAAAAAGAAAAAAAGTCATTTGACAGGCACCTAGAATGCTTAAACACATAAATGACAATGCGTGCTACTCAAGATAGTTTTCCCAAAATATAATCGATAAAAAAAAAACCATGTGTAATTTTTTCCCATATATTTATGTGCAGGCTGGATTACTTCTAGGGCCTCAGTTTTTGGATCTATTTGAGAAATCTTCAAGGAAACTCTCTGTGGATCCTGCGTTAGATGGAAACGCGGTTTTAAGAAGCATCTCAGTGTTTGGAAGCTTGATGTTTACATTTTTGATGACTGTTAGAACCAACCGGCGAGTGGCCTTTAACAGCGGACAACTTCCCGTCGTGATCGGGATTGTGTCCTTCGTTTTTCCTCTGTTCGGTCTATGTTTCCGTAGCCTCTTCTCCGAAAGCATCGACCCTAATTACATGCCTCTGAGAAAAGCTATGGCCGAGCGCGTAGTGGTCGTCTTAAGCCAAGCTTCGATACTTTTGCCGTCCGTAACATTTGTCTTGCTAGAGCTCAAGATCCTCAACTCAGAGCTCGGTCGCATTGCATTATCTGCATCGGTCATCAACGAGATGTTGGGGATCATTTTTGTTGTCCTTGCATCTGCTTTGGGAACGTACAAGAATGTTTCACATGTAACAGCATATCGTGACTGTATCGCAATGGTCATATTCTTTCTCATCACCTTTCTTGTTTTTAAGCCGGTCGTAGAATGGATCATTGACCGCACACCGGAAGGCAAGCCCGTGGAGAGTAAGTACGTTCACGCCGTGGTTTTGACCGCATTGGCTTCTTCTGTTTACACTTCGTTCTTCAACATGAAACACGTCCTGGGGCCTCTAGTGATCGGCCTCGTCATACCAGAGGGTCCACCATTAGGATCGACACTTGAGAGCAAGTACGAGAAGCTCACGACGAACGTGTTCTTACCAATCATGATCGCAATCAGTACGATGAGATGTGATGGAATAAGGATCTTCAACGAGTTCAATGACATCATCTACAATATCTTCCTAATGGTTTTAACACTTACTCTAAAACTGATCGCATGTCTTGCCCCTTGCTTGTACTACAAGTTACCTCTCAAAGAATCCATTGCTGTTTCCATCATCTTGAGCTACAAAAGTTTCTCGGATTTCGTTCTTTTCGAAGCCGCTTTAGACCAGTCGGTAACTTTCTAACCCAAAAATAAATCTAACATTATTATAATTTGTTACTCCCTTGATTGTGACATGTTTCTATTTGGTTTGTTTTTGCAGTATATATCACAAGCAACGTACGCGTTCTTGATCATTTATGCACTACTAAACACTGGTATTGTTCCCACGGTCTTAAGGAGCTTGTACGATCCAAAACGCAAGTACGTTAACTACCAGAAAAGGAACATATTGCATCTGGAACCAAACTCGGATCTTCGACTTCTAACTTGTTTGCATAGACCTGAGAACGTCTCCGAGACCATTTCCTTCCTCCAAATGTTTTCATCACCAAACCTAGACTTCCCTATTTCAGTCACGATTCTCCACCTCGTAAAGCTCGTTGGTCGGATCAACCCCGTCCTAATCTCGCACAATAAGAATCCAAACCGGCTTTTAAACAATTCCTACATCGTTACGGCAAATCTTGCCTTCAATCAGTTTATTCTTGGAAGCTTCAATTCCATAACCATGAACACGTTCACCGCATTCTCGTATGAGATGTTAATGCACGAGGACGTTTGTACGCTTGCTCTTGACCAGATGGCATCGATGATTGTCGTTCCTTGTGGGAGGAAATGGACTATAAACGGGGTGTTCGAGTCAGAAGATGATGTCATAAGGCGTTTAAATCAATCGTTTCTCGACCGTGCGCCTTGTTCTATAGGAGTACTAATCGACCGTGGACAGTTCTCGCGCAGAATTAACGTAATGAACAAGAAAAAGTACAACATTGATGTTGGTGTGATTTTCATCGGAGGCAAAGATGATCGGGAGGCTCTAGCATTGGTGAAGAGGATGAAACATAACCCTAGGGTTCGTGTTACCGTCATTCGACTCGTCTTTAACCAGGATATAGACTCGGAAGACTGGGAGTACATTCTTGACAACGAAGGCTTGGAAAATTTGAAGTTTGCAGAGAAGTCGAACAGTTTTAGTTATACAGAGAGGATTGTGACCAATGGTGTTGAGGTGGCTAGCACCGTTCGATTGCTTGCCGGAGAGTATGATCTTATGGTGGTCGGGAGAGATCATGATACAGGATCACCAGACTTTTCAGGACTAGAAGAATGGGTCGAACTTCCAGAGTTAGGTGTTATCGGAGATTTGCTAGCGGCTAAAGATCTTAGCTCTAAGGTCTCTGTTTTGGTAGTTCAACATCAAAAACATGTGTAGCATATTCATTGTGATATTTTGACAGGAAATTTTGTTTTAAGACAAGCGTGTAGAATATTTTATTATATAAAGTTGTATGTGCAGGACATTAAGAAAATAGGCTATGGCGTTTGGACTGATTGAAGCCCAACACCTACATACACTAGCGTTCAGTGAAGCAAATTATATCATCTTCTAAACGTACATCGGCCAAAGAATTGCATAAATTTTGATAAAGTTGAACGTGAGCGAAATATATGATCGACAACTGCGTAGAATATTTAAAGAACAAATTTTGTCTCCATTCTCTTCACAAATTGTTTCAAATTTTGTTCATCTTCTAAACGTGCATCGGCCAAAATCTGCATAAATTTTGATTAGGTGGAACGCGAGCAAAAAATATGATAGATATCTAGTTGTCATAGAGACCACAATTCCGACAAATTGTAATACACTCTATAGCGAATAGTATCCATGTTAAATCTTCTATAGTATTATCTAAAATAATACACACACGTTGAAAGATTCATCCATGATGAATTTTTCACGCATGATGTTGTTGTTGAACTACTAAAACAGAGACCCGAGATCTAAGATCTCTAACCGCTAGCAAATCTCCGATGACACCTAACTCCGGAAGTTCGATCCACTCCTTCAGTCCTGAGAAATCCGGTGATGACATGCCATGATCTCTCCCAACCACCATGAGGTCATACTCTTCAGCGAGAAATAGTACCGTAGTAGCCACTTCAGGACCACCGTGCACATTCCTCTCTATATATGCAAAATTATTGGTTGTTTCTGAATTCTTTAGCTCTTTGATAATCTCGTGATCAAGAATGTAATCCCAGTTTGTCGACTCCGTTTCTTGGTTAGATATTAGTCGAATCACAGTCACACGGACCTTCGGGTTGTCTTTCATCCTATTCACGAGCGACAAGGCCTCACGATCATCTTTGCCTCCAATAAAAATTACACCGACGTCGATGTTTTTCTTTTTCTTGCCTCTACGCAAGAAGTGTCCGCGGTCCACGAGTATCCCAATAGAACAAGGTGCACGTTCCAGTAGCGACATGTTGAGACGTCTTATAGCCTCGTCGTCTGACTTGAACACCCCATCTGTGGTCCATGTTCTCCCAGACGGGACGACTATTATCGATGTGGCCTGGTCTAGCGCGAGCATGCATATGTCTTCGTGCATTAGGTTCTCATGCGAGAGGGCTGTGAACATGGACACAGTTGTTGAACCCAAGCTCTCTTTGATAAACTGGTTGAAGGCAAGTATTGTGGTGTTGATGTACGAATCTTTGATCAGCCGTTTCGAATTCTTGCTGTGTGAGATCAAGACCGGAACAATCTGACCAATAAGCTTCACAAGGTGGAGGACTGTGACCACGATGGGGAGTTGATGGTTTGGTGAGGACAATAATTGGAGGAATGCGATGGTCCCGGAGATGTTATCAGGTCTGCGCACACAAGTTAGAATCCGGAGATCTGAGTTTGGTTTTAGACTCAAGATATTCCTTTTTTGGTAACCAACATATTTTCGCTTTGGATCATACAAACTTTTTAAGACCACCGGGACAATTGCAGTGTTTATGAGCACATAAATGATCAAGAACGAGTACGTTGCATGCGATAAATACTGCAAAAAAAAAAGGAACCATAGAAAATTGTAAAGATCATAAGAAACGGGATTATAAAGATTTCTTTGTGTCTTGGGGACTTACCTTTTCATTGAATGTGGATTCGTAGATAAAGATTTCCGGGAAACTCTTGCAGCTCAAGAGGATGGCAACGGCAAAAGACTCTTTAAGAGGTAACTTGCAGTACAAGCAAGGTACAAAACCCGCAACCAATTTCAAGACGAGCGTTAGACCCGTGAGGAAGACGTTGTATAGGATGTCATCAAGCTCGTAGATGATCCTCATAATATCGCATCTTGCGCTGCTGAAAGCGATTGTGATCGGTATGAACAAGTTCATCGTGAGCTTCTCATACTTGGCTTCTAAAATGATCCTAAAGGTGGTCCTTCTGGTACGAAGAGGCCGATTATGAATGGTCCCATTAAGGATTTCATGTGGAAGAACGTGGAGTAAACTGAAGAGGCCAATACGGTTATAATAACAGCATGCACGTACTTACTCGCTACTGGTTTGCCTTCTGGTGTTTGTTCTACGATCCATTCGGCAGCACGTCTAAATACAAAAAAGACGACGAAGAATAAGATGATCATCGCGACAATGTCAGTGTAGGCTGTTGTGGGTGATATGTTTTTGTATGTTCCCGAAGAATATGCGAGCACGAAGAATGCAACCCCAAGAAGGTCATTAATGATTGATGCAGACAGAACAAGACGACCAAACTCGGAGTTAAGGATCTTGAGTTCGGACAAGAAGTAAGTGGTGGTGGGCAAGAGTATGGAGGATTGGCTTGCGATGATCACAGAGCGCTCGGATAGGGCCTTTTTTAGCGGCATGTAGTTAGGGTTTATGCCGTCGGTGAAAATGTTCCGGAAACCAAGTCCAACAAAAAGAGGAACGGTGAAGGTCATGATCCCGATCACAACAGGCAATGGTCCGCTGTTGAATGCCACTCGCCGGCTAGTTTTTACAGACATTAAGAAAGTAAACAGTATGCTTCCACACGCCGTGAAGCCTCTTAATGGCGCGTTTCCATTTAGTACAGGATCCGAAGATAGTTTCCGAGATGACTTCTCCCTAAGATCGAATAGTTGTGGTCCCATAATCAGACCAGCCTGCATATAAGAAAATGAGTGAAACAAATATCGTGATGAATACGGTTTAGTGTCTCTTTAACATCTTTATGTTGGCAAGTTTGATCTATTGTTGTTTCAATAATTACTAGTCTCTTGCTTGCTTGTCAAGTTACATATAGAAGGGCAATTTATTATTATTTTTCCTGTACGTGTCGAAACCAGACACCCTTGAAATTTATAAAAATTCGGAGATTCTTATCATTTAAGGTGTTAACAGTGTCTAAGCATTATTGAAATCATAGTGAAAAAAATTTGAATCTTTAGGATGTAAATATGGAAATGTACTTACGATCATATAGGAAGCTATCTGAGAAATGCCGATGCATCTAAGGAACATGTGAGTCATGATGATAGATATGAAAATGAGTAACATCTGGATCTCGATGAGAGGCAATGAATACCCAAAAATTACATCGGGCGATTTCAAGTTCTCCCATAAACCATTTGATGAGATGTTGAACAAAAAAATTCGACAATCCTCGATGAAGGTCGTCGTGTTCATGAACCTGGTCGAAGAAACAAGCGAAATGATACAATTTGGTGTGTATTAGCTCTGAAAAAAAAATTATAGGAAAGAACGTTTGAAACTTTGGATATGAGTTCTGACTTCTAAAAAGAGTGTTATATCTTGTTGTTTAGTTTGTTTTGGTCAACTCGATAAGTATTTATTCGTAAGAGTTAGTTAATGTCAGAAGCTGTTTGGATTTTGGCGCGTATAATTTGTTGAAAAACCTACTTGTTCGGAGCTGGAAATACTCAAATATATATATACCCAAATGAAAATATAACATGCACATTGACCAATACATACACGCATTTTACAAAGCACAGTATAAATAGATTCAAATAGATTTTAGTCAAGAAAAACAACAGATTCAAATAGTTTATTATATCTATTTTTGGACAACAAATCAAAAGTCTGTAACGTTACACATATAGCTCATACAAAACAATTATATGATCATAAAATTTCTTAATGTTATCAAGAAATGTCAAAAGCACATAGTAAGCTCATATTATTGATTGGCGGCTGGCGCAATTGGTAAACATTTAGAAAACTTGAAAACATATCTCACTAATATATAATAGTATTATATTTAGTATATAGTTTTAACTATATAATTTAATTCTTAATTATGAAAAATTGAATCTACGGACAAAGCTGGAATAGCTCAGTTGGTTAGAGCGTGTGGCTGTTAACCACAAGGTCGGAGGTTCGACCCCTCCTTCTAGCGTTTTTTTGTTTTCAATGATTTTATAGAACCGGTGACTAATTGGGTTTGAGTTTGATGAAAAAGCAAAATAATAGTTGACCCTAAACTATCTAGTAAAACCGGGCCAAAAAACAAGAAACCGGATGAATCAATGAAAAGCCCGATTTAATTTTTTATTTAGTGATTTTTGGATTTATTTTTTTTATTCTTTTTATGCGTGTTTACGCATTTCTAAATTTGAGGTTGTCATTAGTCCCAGGAAGATTCTGTTGCCAGCAAATTAAACATTACAAAGTTATCTAAATTTGTTGTCTGTTTTATATGAAGGGGCATACTGTATAGGTTTTCCAGCTCCATACAACTAGTTATTTCAACAAATCATGCCCTCCAAAATCCAACATTTTCTGACTAACTAACTCTTACAAGTTACAACACATACACAAATTATCAAAGACCAAAAAAAAAAAAAACGAAATTTTGAAATCCCATGTCCAAAGATTCACGTTCTTGTTCATAGCCCTTTATATATTTTTTTTCCAAAAAAGAAGAAATTCCCATAGTTGACTAAGCAAGTTCTATAACTTCTTTTGTTTTTGGTGGTCAATATTAATGGATACAACGGCCAACATCGGCGGTTGTAGACCCTTAAAGTTCAATATCTCCTCTAATGGATTGTGGGAGAACCTAGAATCGCCAGATGTGGTTTTCGGCTACTCACTGCCTCTCTTAGAGATTCAAATATTACTCATTTTCATCTTCATCGTCATATCTCACATGTTCTTCAGATGCATCGGCATTTCTCAGATAGCGTCCCATTTCTTGGTAAGTACTCTTCATCCATATATATAGCGTCTCTATAATAGATGTATCTTGACAAGCACGTAAAAGCTTCAAGCAGCATACCTAACGATCATATATACCTTCTATTCAAGATATTCATTTTAATATATCAATATAATGTTCAGGCCGGTCTGATTTTGGGGCCTCAACTGTTCAATCTTTTGGAGAAATCATCAGAGAAATTATCGTTGGATCCTGCGCTAGATGGAAGCGCGGCGTTACGAGGCATCTCAATGTGTGGAAACGTTATTTTTACATTCTTGATGTCCGTTAGAATCAGCCGTCGATTAGCATTCAACAAAGGACCGTTGCCCATCGTGATTGGAATCTTGACCTTCATCGTTCCTTTGTTCGGCGGCTTATGTTTCCGGAACCTCTACACGGACAATGTAAACCCTAACTACATGCCGTCCAAGAAAGTCCTCGTCGAGCGCACTATAGTCATCTCGAGCCAATCCGCGGTTCTCTTGCCCACCGTCACTTATTTCCTATCGGAGCTCAAGATCCTTAACTCCGAGCTTGGTCGCCTAGTGTTGTCTGCATCAATGAACAATGAAGTTCTAGGGATACTTTTTAACATGATCGTATATTTCGTGGATACGTACAAGAGCATCTCCCCCATAACAGCCTATCGTGACATTTTAGCGTCCATCTTCTTCTTTCTCATCGTATTTTTCGTTTTTAGGCCAGCCGTAGATTGGGTAGTAGAACGAACACCGGAAGGCAAACCTGTTGCGGACAAGTATGTGCATCTTGTCATTTTGAGCGCATTGGCTTCATCTGCTTTCTCCGAGTTTTTCAATATGAAGTACCTCTTGGGGCCATTCACGATGGGCCTCATCATACCAGATGGTCCACCTTTAGGATCCGCCTTGGAAGCCAAGTATTATGACCTAACAGTGAACCTGCTAGTACCAATCTCTATCGCACTCAGCACGATGAGATGTGACGTGGTGAAGCTCATCTACGAGTTTGATGACATCATGTTTAACGTGGTCTTATTGGTTCTAACGCTCGCTGTGAAACTAGCCACTGGCATCGTACATTGCTTGTGCTGCAAGTTACCACTCAACGAGGCTCTTGCCGTTTCCATCTTCTTATGTTGCAAGAGTTTCTCGGAACTCTTTCTCTACGAATCTGCACTTGACGACTCGGTAATGCACCTGACCAAACACAAAGTTATCTTTCTACAATCCTTCTCGCCATTGTTCATGTTTTTTTCTTTTCCTTTTGCAGCATATATCACAGGCAACGTATTCGTTCTTGGTCCTTTATGCGCTGTTAAATTCTGGAATTGTCCCAGCGGTTGTGCCAAGATTATACGATCCAAAGCAGAAGTATGTTGGTTACCAAAAAAGGAACATCTTGAGTCTGAAACCAGACTTAGATCTCCGGATTCTGACTTGTCTTCACAAACCTGAGAACATCTCTGGAACCATTGCGTTCCTCCAAGTACTGTCCTCACCGAACCAAGAACTTCCCATCGTGGTCACGGTCCTCCATCTCGTAAAGCTCGTGGGTAAAGTCGTCCCTGTCATGATCTCACACAACAAAAGTTCAAATCGGTTAATTAACAACTCTTACATCCACACCGCAAACCTTGCCTTCAGCCAGTTGGAGTCGGTGACCATGACCATGTTCACTTCCCTCACACATGAGAACCTCATGCACGATGAAGTCTGCACGCTCGCACTGGATCAGGCCACGTCGATGATTATCGTCCCGTCGGGGAGAAAGTGGACAATAAATGGAGAGTTTGAATCTGACGACGAGGCCATAAGGCATCTCAACGTGTCCTTACTGGAGGACGCACCTTGTTCTATTGGGGTACTAGTGGACCGTGGACACTTCTCATGCAGAAGCTCGAGAAAATACAAGATCGATGTCGGTGTGATCTTCATTGGAGGCAACGACGATAGAGAGGCAATCTCGGTTGTGAAGAGGATGAAGCTAAACCCTAGGGTCAATGTAACTGTGATCCGACTCGTTTCTAGCCAAGAAATAGAGTCGACAGATTGGGAACAAATTCTTGATTACGAGGTCTTGGAGGATTTGAAAGATACAGAGTCCAGAAACTGCATTACATATATAGAGAGGAATGTAACGACTGGTCCTGACGTAGCCACCGCTGTCCGATTGCTCTGTGGGGATTATGATCTGATGGTGGTCGGGAGAGATCACGGCATGGCAACACCGGACTTCTCTGGACTCACGGAGTGGATCGAACTCTCTGAGTTAGGTGTCATCGGAGATTTGCTGGCATCTAGAGATCTCAATTCTAGGGCCTCTGTTTTGGTAGTTCAACAACAACAACAAACGTGAAAAATATTCGTTTGTTCATACGTAATGTAGATTTAAATATACTTTCTTTACTTAGAAAAGTTTTCATATATATTCTCATTCTTATAAGGAAATATTTGGAATACACAAGATCGTGTTTGAAAACTCTTGGAATAGTTTTCCTAACCAATATATACTTTAGTCTGCTTTAATGTAGAAGTTTGTCAATTTTAAGATCAGGTTGAATAGGCCAAAAAACAAAAAACTCCGTTTCCGGGATTCGAACCTGGGTCTCTCGGGTGAGAGCCGAGTATCCTAACCAGCTAGACTACAACGGATTTGTGTTTGGATATACATTCTTTACTTACAAAACGTTGTATTTGTTCTCGTTGTTGAAGTTATTATCACGAGTATAAACATCGTGTTAGAAACTCTTGGAATATTTTAACTACCCAGCTTATCTTGAGCCTAAACTACTTGTATACATGAGCAAATTTTCTTTTTGACAGCCAAGAAGTTCCATGTTTTCGACTCTTCTCGAATCGAGCATGTTAAATTTATGTTTTCTTATTAATAATTTTTTTTGTCGATTGTACTAATTAAGATAGACTTTAGAGGTTTGTTTTATAAGTTTATAACAGTAATTGAGCTTTAAAAATATTTGTCCTGAGAAGAGAGATTCTTCCAATTTTATGATACCAAAATAAGCACTTCTCGAATTATTAACAGATCCAAAAAAGTTGAAATATACAACATCAGATAACGTTGTAATCATTACTTGTAACTCAAGCTCATTTGTAATGTGTCCCGTCGCAGTTTGCACTAGTCCCAATTTGAGTCTTGTCGCCATCTCCAGCTGATCGATCGATGTTTTTGTCCCCAAGCAACAAGCGCAATCACACGTTAAAAATTCATCTAATCATCATTAAAAACCCTAAATCATCTGTTGTTGCTGCTGAATCACCAACACAGAAGCTTTGCAATTAAGATCCGTTGAAGCCAAGAGATCTCCAATCACACCAAGTTCCTCGAACTCACTCCATTCCTCAAGCCCTAACGTGAAAACACTCTTCCTTCCTTTCTCTCTTCCGACGATGAACAGATCATACTCATTCGCAATTCTTTTCAGCAGGTTTGATGTCTGAGACGCGTCATTCACTACTTCCTCGGAGAAGCTAATGTCTCCGCCGGCAAGAACATTGCTCTTCACGTCTCTAAGTTGTTCTAAATCGATCATTCGATCCCAATCGACTGTTGGGTTGGCTTTCTGTTCGGTAGAGATGAGAGAAACCACGGTTATGTTAATCCGCGAGTCACGAGCCATCCGCTTTGCGAGCGTTAAAGCTTCTCTATCGTCTTTACCTCCAAGAAAGAGCATGCAAACTTTGTAAGACGAGAAGCTTGTAGCCGTCTCTTTGATTGTTCTCTTGCCTCGGTGGACAAAGATTCCAGCAGAGCAAGGAGAGAGCTTGAGAACACTCTTGTTCAGTCTCCGGATCATGTTACTGTCCGAAACAATGGCCGATCCATCAGCAGACCAACTCTGGTGAAAAGGAAGAATGATAAGAGACGTCGTGTTGTTCAAAGCGAGCATGCATATGTCCCCATGCATCGTCTGTGGGAAAGACAAAGCCGTGTAAGTCCCGACGAAAACAGAGCCGAAGAACTCTTTGTGGAACTGCTCGAACGAAGCGATGACGTTCTCCGAGTTATAAGACACATGCTCGCTTTTCCTGGTTTGTAAACGGTGGTCGATGAAAACCGGATTAGCCCCTCCCACGAGCTCCATCAAGTGGAGTACGTATGAAGCTACCGGACTCTCTCTTGACGGACAAGTAGCTTCAAGGAGATTGATCATCGGATGGATGTCGTCGGTCTGGTAGATGCAAGACAGAATCCTCAACTCCGAGTTAGGTTTCATGTGAAGCATGTTCCGCTTCTCGTACCCTGCGTATATCCTCGAAGGGTCGTATACGCGTCTCAAGATCGGTGGTATGATTGCAGAGTTCAACAAGATGTATATAGATAAGATAGTGAAGGTCACTGGCCTCATAGACTGCAATGAAAATACATAACAACACGTCAATATAACAAGTTGAGTGTTACGCACGCCAAATGTGTTTAGATGCAGTGGTAGGTTATATATGCTTACCCCTCTTTGAAACGCGAAAGCGTAAGCGCCGAGCTCGAAAATGCCTTTAAAGGACATAAGGAGAGACAGAGCAAAGCAGTCATTGGCGGGAATGCCGAAGAAGAAGGCAGGGAGAGTGGTGAGACCGAATTTGACAACAAAGGAGATAGTGACAATGATGGAGATGCTTCTGAAATCTGTCCAAGACACTAGCATGATCGAGGTATCGAGCTCTGTGGCGGACGAAGCGACGAAGAAAGGAAGGAACGTGCCGAATACGGCAGCCTCGAACTTCTCAACGATCGCAGCGCCTAGAGGCGGGCCGTGAGGGACAGCTAGCCCTAAGATGAAAGGTCCCATGAAGATAGATTGCTTGCTCCAATCCGCAAGAACGGCTGATCCGAAAACAAGAATGATGATCCAGTATATGTACATCTTCTTCACGGGACGACCAGTGGGCGTTCTGTCGATGATGAAGAACATCAATGGCCTGAAGATGTATATGGCGAAACAAACAAAGCCCACAGCTGTTGCTGCACTCTTCAGAGGACGGCTTCCGAAGGAGACATCTCCGATGAATATGGATCCGAGGCGGGTTTTCTCGTCCCTGAGTTCTTTCAAGAAGACGAGAACCGCGGAGAGGATCGAGGTACTGAAGTCACTGATCACTGCAGAGGACATCGCTAGACGTCCAAGCTCTGAGTTCTGTAGCCTGAGCTCGAAAAGAAGGTTTCCGATAACCGGGAACGACGAAAGGCATTGGACCGAGTAGATCATGATGATCTCGAAGAAGTCGAAAACCGGCTCTCCCTTCTTGGTTCCTAGATCTCTTAGGATGACGAAGAAGATGAAAGAGCAAACCGTGATAGAGAGTAACACGGAGGAGAGACCGATGGCGATGGCTTTCCTCCCGGTGTTTCGGACAAGACTCAAGTCCATTTTAACTCCCATCAAGAACCAGAACATCATGTACGAACACGCACCAACCAAACCAAAAAGAGTCTCTTTATAATCTTTTGTCGCAAAGAAATGTCTCTCCGCGCTGTCCTCCTTGAAAACCGACTTGCTTAGAAAAAGCCCTGCCTGCAAAAATACACACAAAAAAAAGGATGAGTCTTTTCTTGTTTTGCAAACCAAAGATGCAAACTTTGAATCAAAGAAGGAACATTTTAACTCACAAGCATATGGGAAGTGAAACGAATCATGCCGAGACGTTTGAGGAAGAAATGAAAGAATTGCCAGAGGATGGTGACGATGAGGAAAATCATTTGAACATGTGGGAACATGTAATTCCAGAATTCGATGTTGGCTTTAGGATCTGGAAGCTTTGCATTTGGCCATAGCCCGCTCGAGCTCGGGTTTATAGGCACCACGCCGCAGATTTTGTTCGAGTCATCTCTCCATGTATCTCTCAGGTAAATACTCCTATCATCTCCATACTCCATTGCACAGAACTTTTCTCTGTTCCACAAGAACAAAGATGATGATAGAAACAAAGACAAGACAAGAAACTGTTTATGAATCGAATTTAAAAAGTCTTAAACATAAAAGGTTTATGTAACAGAATTGGAGAGAAGCAGTGAAACGAGAATCCATCTGGGTTTTGTTTCATTATAAAAACAATTCTCTAAAAATAGTCAATCTTGTAAGGAACAAGAGAGACGGCGACATAGAATTTACAGGTTTCTGGTTATTGTTAGGTTTTAAGTTTTTAACAGCTTGTTAGTGTTAAATTTACCCGTCTCTCTCTACTTTAACAGACAAATGAATACAATATTTTTAGATAATATCACTTCAAGAAAATATAACATTTTTCCTGATTCCTCAAAATAACTTCAAGAAAATAGCAAAATTACAAATGTAGCAAAGATCTACAAGAAGAAAACTTCACAAACTTTGATCCTTGCAACTTCTTTTTCCCCTCTCTGTATGTTCCTGCAACCTCAACACACCAAACACATTGCAATGGTTCGTTACCATCTGCGTTTGCGGCTAAACATTAAAACGCAAAGCTCCATTCGATGGCCAACATTTAAACATCAGATGTTCATGGAGAGTCAAGAAATACCTTTAAGATGCAGTAGTAGGCTTGACTATCTGAAGGGTTAGTTGGCGAAAACGTTGAGCTTAACTCGAGCGGTCACATCAGGGTGAAGTTTGAGTTCGGCGATGTATTCTCCGGTTTCACGGATCTCTGGGAGAGAGACAAGGCGTTTGTCTATGTCTCTGCAAAACCAAGCCATAGAGAAGCAGTGGAAACCATATTATTAGGTTTTTCCAAGAACACAATAAAACCAGATGCTTGTAGCTTTTTGATGTTACCTTTGGAGCTGCGCTTTGATGATGTCGACGAGGTCTTGTGCTGTGACACTGCAGGGAAGAATCTAGAGTTAAGCAGAGGATACACATGGATTTACAAGACCCTTTGATTTGCTTAAACACAGACTTACGATCCAAATATCAGTTTGCCTTTCCCGCCTTTGCGTTTAACCTTGAAAGCCCCTACGGTTTCAAATAGCGTCGCCAATTGTTGCGCCTCTTCTTTCACCTGTAACAACAAACAAAATTCTCAGGGTGAAACTTGAAATCCAAACGAAAGAGTTTATATGATGAGAAAATAAAAAACAATCAATTGTATTCATACCCTTTGCTTCTCTGCCTCAATCCGTTCGTCTTCCATCTTCATTTCCCTGTAAAAGACAGCCAAGGAAACCAAACATACAATTAAAATAAAATGATGCAGTTCTTGTTGATCTTATAACACATTCTCTTGCTAGTTCTCAAAAGAATAGGCCTTGAAAAAAGTGCATGTAAGAGCTTTTGATATGTATTAAAAAGTGAATTACTTGAGCAAAATCGGAGTAATGAGCTGAGCCTTTCCCGTTGGCAAGAGGAAGTTTCTGAAAAATCCGGCTTTCACGTCCAGCAATTGCCCTTGCTTGCCTAAGTCCATCACATCCTCTTTCAAGAGTACCTTTGAAGAAACAGAAAACAAACAAATTTTAACCATTTTCGTTTCATTCAATCGATTCCTTTACCACAAATTCCAAAGGTGTATACTTTGAATATTACAAAACACAAGAAATCAACCAATTCTTGGAGCTAAAAACTAGAAACGAATAAAAAGGTGTATACTTTGAAATGTAAATTCACAGTTTCTGTTTCTTTTCTTCAGTTTTTCTAATCGAACTTCACTATTTCCCTAATTTTTCTTACTATCTAAACTGAGACAGGAAAAAATAAACAAAGACATTGTTTTTTTGCAGTAAACCAATAAATTAAGCTTCTTTCAAGTTTCCTCTCATCTCCATCAAAATTCTTCCTAAGCTCGAATCAGAGAGTAACTAAACCCCAAATCGAAATTTTGAAGGAAACCCATGAAATGTAATTCACCAGAAAAGACTTTACCTTACGAAGTTTCTTGGCTTTCTTCTGAGCAACCACCTCCAAAACGGACCTTCGCTGGGATACTTGTAGGGTTTCATTCGCGACGCCATTAAAGCTTCGGGAAGAGCAAATCGAGGAGCTCCATGAGAGGGACAAAGCTGTAGAAGAAGCCATTGCGTAGCTGATTTCAATTTCGAGCACAGATAAGAGCACAGTTTAGTGTTGTTATCTTCTTATCGGCTTCGCTTTGCTTTCCTCAGTAAACAATGTGAAAGGACGAATGTTTTTCTCATGTTTCGAATTTGACCCCATAATTATTAGATCTTTTGGTTTTCTTCCTTAAACTTATTTAAATTACCTTCTGCACCCCACATTATATTAGCCTGTCCATTTAAGTTCACTCCTCTAGATATATACAATAAGTTGTATGATACTGTAAATTGCTGCAAGTTGCTCTGATCTTTGATTTACAAGGTTGTATGTTGATTGTACATGTACAAATATGTCTATTCGATTTCAGAGTGGACATAATCTCTGAACACAAAGTTCTTCTCTTTATCATGTAAAGCATATGCAGAAGCAGCTGAAATCAAAGCTAAACCAGCCAGAACCATCCGAATCTGAACATCAGAAGGAACACCGGCCGTGGCCGCGAAGAAAACCGTCGTCCCAACGAGAAATTTCTTGATGATTTGGAAACCCTTGTAAGCTCCTTTGCAGGAGGAACAAACTTGTGTATGCTGCTCAAATCTATCTAGCATCTGTTCATTCAAAATTCCACATATTCAGACATGTGTTTGCTGTATATAAGTGTATATATATATGTCTGATTGATTTGCTCACCTCACGCTTGGTTAAGACAGTAGAAGGAAGAGGTTGGTTAGCTACAGAGCCAAACCACTCAGGCTGGCTCTTGCCATGGCGTCTGAGCCAGCTTCTGAAAGCAAGAACAAAACGGTCTGCTTGCGTTGGAGTGAATGTGAGCTTAGTGTACTGTTTGTTCACGTCGTAGTCCGGTGACTCCATTGATTTAGAGAGGAATACTTTCTCTTGTCCCTGAAGTACAATCATGTCTCCGTCATAAACTAAGTTCGAAGTCCAATGTTCATACCATCTCGGAACAACCTTAAACAAGAAACAGCATCAGAAACACTTATAGAGGCAAATCGGACTAGAGAATGGAATCAAAGTTTGTTTGCTTTTTACCTGCCACCAAGCAGGTCCTGGTACAGAGAACTGGAAGAAGTTACGTGCGCTGCAAACAATGGAACGGGTCTTTCCTGGAGCCATTGGTATATTGAACGAGCAGATCCATATCACCCACTTTTGGTTACCGACGATTGGTAACTTCGCATCTATCTCAATTCTGTAGACAAGCTTAAGAAGTTAGCAACCTGTATGTTACAACCATATATGTAGTGTGAGGGAAGCTTAAAGACTCTCACTTGTTAAGAGAATAGCACGGAGCAACGAATTTCGCGGTTATCTTTGGATTGTCGTCATTCTCACCTTGGAAACCCCAAGGACCGCTTGACTCCACCTTGAACGGCAATGGTTTAGCTCTGTCTCTTCTTCCTGTAACCTATTTACAAACACCAAATCATCGCCTTGAGGATAATGATGAGAGCAACACACATTGGGAGCTTTCAAAGAGAGATAAACACCTTGTGATGAGCAAAATTGATATGAGAAGGATCAGATACATTTTCCATGAGAGTATCATATCCATAGAAAAGATCTCTTTGAATCGTCACTGTTGAGAACTCTGGTTTATCAAAATCATCGGGCAACCTAAAAAAATGTTGAAAGATCAAAGCTTTATTAAGGTCTCTGCGCAATAAGCAAACTTCAACCGAAGAGAGGCTTGTTTTGTTACCTAGGGGGTTCAACTGAATTTGCTCTGTCCCATCCATTTTCATCAGGCCACACAAAGAGAAGACCTTGAGACACCATTGTTGGGAACTTAATAGCGCAAGCTCTCGGGGATTTCACAGCGCGAGCTTCAGGACCTGACGTTGAAGCTTGTGGAATCTTAGTGCAAGATCCGCACCCGGCAAAAGACCATCCATGATATGAACATTGCAAGTGTCCATTCTCGTCTAGCCTTCCTTCCTACACAACCACAATGCATCAACACATGTATTCACCATTCTAAAGCTCAAAACTTCAGATACCATTTGAAGAAGCCGTCCCATGAACGGAGCTATACAGGAAAGTTTACTTCTTTTTGCTCATGACAATAACGAAACAACATTTGACTGCTCTGATTCTGATCCTAATATTTTAATCAAAATATGTTTGGAGCTGACATAATATTGAATTACTTTAAAGATCTATACTTTACAATAAACAATCTATCTCCAATAGTTTATTCATCTAAATCCAAATCACAGTACCTAATTAAACTACTTGTTCCAAGAGAGAGAGATATTGAGAGTGAAAGAGAGATTACAGATAAAGGAGCAAGACGGTGAGGGCAGAGATCATCAAAGGCGGCCCATTTCTGATCGTTCCGATCGAACCAGAGGACAAGGTCTCGACCCAGGAGCTGAAACGGGGTTGGAGAATTCGGATCCAAATCTTCAACCAAAGAAACTGGATACCAGTGATCTCTCCACTTAAACTCAGACCCTTCCTCTTCCTTCTCTCCGCCGTAATCTTCTTCGATCCGGCTCTCCTCCGCCGGATCTGAAATGGGTATAGACGGCGGCGCCGCCACGCGAAGTGGGCTTTTGAGAAGTTTCGGTTTTTGAGGAGAAATCGATACTTTGGACGGGAATTTCGCGGAATTGGTGGGAGATAAAAAAGGAATCTTTCTGGACTGGGATTTGGTGATTGTCGCAGAAGTAGAAGAAGAGACTAAAACCACTGACATTTCTCTAATTTCTTCTTTTTCTTCTCTATAGTTTGATGTTGTGTTAAAGGTTCTGAAATCAGCGAGAAGAATGAAGAGGAAGAAGAGCTTGCGTGCAAGTTTGCATTATTTCCGTGGCTATCGACTACCATTTGTTGTCTTTAAACGAGAAACTGTGAACAAACGGGTTTAACACGTGGCGGATTTTGGCACTTGGCTAATAAAGAACGTTTTTCAAATGATATTGACTTTGTTTGTTTGTTGTCAAAAATGTCAAACATCTATGGGAATCTTCTTTTTAACCAAATCTATGGATGGTTTAATAAACCAGCAATATCAAAAACCTATGCTTCTGCATTTTTTTGGTCAAAAATTAAAAGTTGTCAAGATAAAGACACAAGAATTGTTTCCTCAGCTTGTTTAACGCCAAACCCACGTAATGCAATACCTCATACAAAGTAAACTCATAAGTCATAACCGTAACAATTTAGTGTGACTGTTGGTAACATAGTCAACATTTTTATTTTCATTTGAGTTTGATTGATTTACAAATCTGAGTTATCCTTTTTGTAAAATTGTTAAACCTAAATACAACTCAAAAACATGGAAAATGTGTCAAGTAATTTGGTATAGAATATATATTTGTATCTTAACTTAACGATCTTTTGATTCATATTTCTACAAGAACAACAAAAATTAGCTAACTTCCTAATTATGTCACAACCTGATTCTAATCTTCTCCGACATCCTCATGACATCAGAGTAAACCTTATCGCCACCTATATCCTTCCCTGAAGCTCCGGCAGCAATTCTCAAAACATCTTCAACGAGTCCAACATTACCCATTACGTCCACATGAGCTCCACTTTCAGTTCCTCGACTTTCCAACAGACTTCCGGGTGGCTTGTGTTTGTATTCCCGCACGAATGTCTCCATCCCCGATGGGTTAAACCGCGTTTTGCCTCTCCATCCCTTTGCGCACATAAACCCCGAACTTATCACCGGTACACTCTCGTCTCCATCCGCAAACCTAGCTCCTCCTTTAAGACACACATCGTCTCCATCCACCGATCCATCTATCCGGAATGGAATGCTGCTCTTGCACTTACCTGGAGAAGTTGATGAGAGCTTGTATATGTAAGATCTCTCGGTCGGAATCCCTACTCCGTAAAGACAGTGCATCTCCATCTCTGGTGCGTCCGGTAATCTGTTTGGAGCGAAAGGAAAGAAGCATTAATATTTCTATTATAGCAACCCTACTAGCTATAAATAGAAAGGACAAAGAAACTTTCTATATGTTTTGTACTTACTTGGTCTCGAGTGGATTAGACCAGTACTTATACTCTTCATACTTAGGGTCTTCAAGATCTTCGGCAATGCCGTGAGAGAAATGAGCTTCGGCTCGTCTCATCATCTTAGGAGCTATAAATCGGAGAAGATCAAGAACGGTGGTGGCCGTGTAAGCTGTGTTTTCTGCTACTTTCACTATGCTTTCTCGGCTTAGTTCACTGTACTCCGACCAAAAATCTCCACATGATGTACTGCCATTTGAAGTGTTGTCTACTCTTGAAAGTTCCTGGTAGAAGAGCGAAACAAAGTTAGATTATAATGACCCGTAAAAAGGCAGGACCTTGGCTAGAAGATTTATATAACCTTGATGTTAAGAGAAGAGAGTTGTGAGGAGGGTATTTCAGACGCCCGTTTTCCAAAAGCTATAATTCTTCCATATTTTGTAGGTTCTTTTACCCGTGAGTCTGGTGTGGCACTAATGTTTTGTGTGCCAAGATCGGTTAGCGATGATTTTCTCTTGGAGAAAGAGCAAGTTTGGTCTTCTTCATCGGAAGCGTCTAGATCTCCCCATATTGCCTCACCACCCTTTGGTAGTAAAGAAACTATTGAATCCCAGCTATGTGTCATCCGCATAAGCTGCTCGAGTGTTTGCATCTTAAGAAGTTCCGAGTCCAAGAGCCCTGGCGCCAAAGCTCTAAACCATAAACAATGACCAGTCAAAAATCTATTAAAGTCTAAAAAAGTTATAATCCTTATGGAAACTAACATAACAAGTGAAAGTATCTTTGAAACATCGATGGACCTAACCTATTGTAAGCAATGTCTTTGCCCTCAGCGGAGAGCAAGTTACTGACGGCTTTGGGGACACCTAAAAAGGCAGGTCCGATGTTGACGACGGCTTTGATGTGTTTGGCACACCAACCTGAACCACCACCACCGCCTCCATTGGGAAGAGGTGTTTCAACCCATTTAAGAAAATGAAGGAAATAGATAGCCCCCATTGAATGTGGAACCACCACCACTTTATTGTACCCATTTGTTACATACATTAGCTCGATTTGACTCTTCAGCCTAGTTAACGATTGGTCACGTACCTGCTCGGTTCCATTCCAAACAAAACTATACATTAGTCCATTACAAAAACGAATATATACACAACAATTTGTAGTTATATATACTACTAAACAATAATTTGTTAAGAGTGATCATCTTTCTCTAGTTGATCATATTATATTTGACTCTTACCTCGGTGTTATGGAAAGAAAGTCTCCAATCATAAGAGGCCATATGAAGGTTCTTGCCTTCATATCCTATTTTTGCCAAATTCTCGATAAGTGTTGCCCAAGCAAAGGGTGTGAAGTTTTCTGCAGCCACGAGTCCTCGGACTGCTCGGACCCGGATGCCCGATGGGTCCAGACCGGTCTCATTATCCAAAGACAAGTGCTCCAACCAGCACAATGGCCTGTAGATCAAATGGAAACAATTAAGTTAGCAACTGTAAGGATTAATTTATGAAATCAATATGATAACCAGGAAAGAAAATCATTTAAATGAAAAACCAAATCAAAACATATGATTTTTCATATGTTAGTAGTTATATAGACAATATGCATGTAACAAAATTTTGAAACTGAAGATTGCCAAAAATAATCTGTTAAAAACTAAAAATAAAATAAATTAGTAGTTACTAAATAAAATGAAATATACAGTCACTAACCATTTTGGAGAATATATTTTTATGATATATCCATATCTAGTGAATTGATAAGGAATATATTTTTACACTTGGAAACTCTGATATATGGAAGTATCTTTAGATACATATGAATAATTTCCTAAAATGATGTATTAAACTTAGGATTAAATAAAGATAAAAAAGAAACCATCTCAAACCATAACCAAAACAAAATCTTATGATCTAAACAGGAAGCAAATTTCAAGAAGAAAAGTAAAGTTTAACTATAACCAAAACAAAATCTTATGATCCTAAACAAGACAAAACCAAACCCAACATGCAAAACACAACGGTCCGGTTTGTTAATTAGTTTACGGCGATATGATATTTTTTACCTTCTGAGGATCTCCCTGAAGCTACCGCTCCAAAGACGCTTACGGAAAAGCCCTTCAGCACAAGGCCTGCCTTCCCAGAGCTCGAGCCCGCCGGTGACAATCCCGGGGACAAGAACCACCGGATGATGCGCCTTCAAGCCTTCTCGACTCAACCGAGTCCCTGGTGACTCCGGAGCCTGAAGCATCGCCGGGACCGGGACAGAGTTGTATAGGAAGAGAAGAAGCCACCAAGCCGTACAGAGATAGCCAATCGCCCAGCAACACGAATCCACGTAACTGCATTTCCGTCTCCCTGAGCGACGCCGTTTTGGTTTTTCCGTGGTGGTGGATGGATGTTTTGCTTCGGAGATAACGGTATCTTCATTGCGGATAGTGTCCAAACCTCTAAGGGAATCAGTGGAGTTGTTCCGAACAGAGAAGCATAGTTTTCTTGATCGGAGAGTTGGAGGCATCGAATAATGTGTTTAGGAGCTTAAACAAAAATATTTGATATTAAATCAAAACGATTAATAAAAGGGTTTTAACTACATAATTTAAGGAGAATTTAACCCAAACTTATTTTCAGAGATTTTGTTGGTGTTAAATGATAATCCTTTATAAGTGCAAAGAAGGAAAGATCAAACAATGTCGCTATCAGTAATCCTGAGAAGACAGACGACAAAGAAAGAAACAGAGAAGCGTATGGGATTGTGCCTTTTTGCGCCGCCTACTTAACTTCAAGTTTTTATTGTTACTAAGAAAATTTTGGACATTTGTTGGGTTGATCCGTGATCGGAGGAATAATCGAGGTGACTGGTAAGCATGCAGAAGTGTGTGTAAAGCATGAAGATTGTTAACCTTTAGGACACTTGTCTTCATTTTTACATGCAACGCCCCCTATAGGTTTTCTTTAACTTTCTATTGCCATGCTAATCAGTAACCTGTCAGAGATAGTTGCCACATAATGAAATACTAATTTATTATGTTAACATATAGTATTAACTGTATAAGATATGTATAAACAAGAAATACACAGGACGGGTGACATATGTATGTCATTTTGATGAATGTCATAAAATTGTTGTTGCATAGTATTTGTCTTCAATTTTTCCATAGTTAAGTGATATATAAAATGCAGATTAAAGGCTAGCTACGTGTTGCGGAAGTTAATTTTATTTTAGTAATCAGAAAATCCAAAGGCCAAAAATGGCATCATCGAAAAGATTGGTCTGGAAATGTTAAAAATGGATTGAGTAACATTTGATCAAATGGATTGAATTACTTGTAAGTTTATCTTGTCGTTGCAAGATTCTCTAATGTGGGCTCTTGTGGGCTGTTCATTCCGATGTATGTTACCCTTTTTCGACAGTCTTGCCTAAATGAAGTATATATTTGCTCTTCCTAGATTGAATTTCATACATGCAATTCATTTTTCAATTACTTGAGAATAAACCGAACGCGTAATAAACCGGAGCTGCAATGCCTCTAGACCAAACCTGATTTTTTTCTGGACGTATAGTAGTAATAGACGCCACGTTGGATACATCATGCTCTGCCTTTACATCTTTGAAGTCTATTTTGACCTCTCTCTCTCTCGGTCTTTAAAAAAATGTCGAAACACTTTTAACACATACTCGGAGTTCCTTTTGTCTCTTTGTCTCCTTAATTCCCTCTCTTTTGTGCCTCCGATTTATTATAGTTTCAGTAGAAACGTAAAAGGAAACAAAAATCCTTTTTCTTCCTGGGATCTGTAAAACTGATATATCATATACTTTCCCTGATTTCACTCTAAAAAAATCTCTTATTTTATTTCCTAAAAAAATGATATAAATAATTTCGATTTTCTCCCACTCGAGTGGGGAAGTAGGTTTTCATGAAGAGAGTAAAAAAAAAAAAAAAGCATCTTCCGACCAAGTTCAAGAAATTGTTTGTTTTCAATTTTGGTGAAAAGAAAGCATATCCCTATATTTTAATTTCTCTTTTTAAATCGTTTTTGGATTTTCTTCTTTCTTTGGTTGATTTTAGCTGTAAAGGGCCACATACACACCATGCCCCCCCTTCTTGACGTATCTCTCTCTCTCTGACCTTTGATTTGAAAAAACAAATTGTTTATTTTTCTTCTTCTTAGAATTCGCTTTTGGTTTTCAATGTTTTTCTCTTAATGGAGGTTTAGTGGTTTTCCTTTTCTCTTCAATTCTGTTATTTATAATTCCTCGTTAGCTCTGTGAAGCAACTTCTGGGTTTGGTGGGTAGAGATATATATTGAATTTCCTTGTGAGATGTGAAATTTTCAATTTTGATCATATTTCTGGGATCTTCTTCTCTCTAAGAGGCATGTCACCTGCAGCCAAAGTCTCTGAATTTCACAGAGAAGGAAACGACTGGTAATTCTTTCCCTCTCTCTCTGTTTCTGCATGTATGAGTCTGTGTTTATACAAATTTCAGTTCATGGGTTTTGTTCAAAATTGATTAAATCTTCCAATTTTATGGTTTTGGTAGCTCCGTGAACTTAAAGTTTGCATCTTTTTTGCACTTTCTCACTTGCCAAAATCATTTCAAAGATGCTCTGAGTCTGAGAGAACACAATTTGGCTTTTCTGCGAAATTTTTGGATCCTGGGAAACAAATGAAGATTGCTTGATGATAATACTCATATCTCACATAAAATTGAGTTCACCTGAGAAATCTGTGCTTTTAGATAACTTGAAAAGAGAACTGAATTTTAAAATTTGCAGGTTTTGCAAAACAGGCTTGTCAAGTGATATAACTGTGGTTGTGGATGATGTGAAGTTCCACCTTCATAAGGTATATTCCTTTTTATGATTCATTTATGCTTTTGCTTTCTTCCTGAGTTTGGTACCGCCTTTATCTTCATTGAGCTATAGAATTTATGTCAATCTCTGAGACAGAACAAGGAAGATCATCTTAGGAACAATGCTGATTTTAGCATAATGATAAAGTCTAGTTATTGTTCAACTTATTCTCATTAGTTAAGCTACATAGACTCAGCTACTAGTTATGTGTACACATTTCTTACGGTTATGTAAGCATGTAACGACTTTACTGAAATATATGTATGTTTGTATGTTGTCATTTGCAGTTTCCACTGGTGTCAAAATGTGGAAAACTAGCAAGAACGTATGAAGATTCCAAAATCACCAACAAGAAACCTCTCCGGACAACAACGGTGGTGCTCGAAGACTTCCCAGGCAGCGCAGAGACGTTCCTCACAGCTGCAAGATTCTGTTACGGAGCTCGAGTAGATCTCACCTCCAAAAACATCGTTCCCATACACTGCGCAGCAGAGTACCTCGAGATGTCAAACGAATACGGAGAAGACAACTTGATATCCCAAGTCGAAACCTTTCTGCACAAGAACGTGCTTCGCAGCTGGAAAGACTGTATCTTGGCCTTACAAAGCTCCAACCCCGTGTTGAAAGCCGCGGAGAAGCTCCACACGATACCCAAGCTCATGAACGCTGTGTCAACGATGGTTTGCACTGACCCGAGTTTGTTCGGATGGCCTATGATGATGTATGGGACACTGCAGAGTCCCGGCGGGAGCATCCTATGGAACGGGATAAACACTGGAGCGCGAATGAGAAGAAGCTCCGGTTCGGATTGGTGGTACGAAGACGTCTCTTATCTAAGTGTGGATCTGTTCACAAGGCTCATCAAGACTATGGAGACGAAAGGTATACGCGCGGAGAGTTTAGCCGGTGCGATGATGTATTACGCGAGAAAGTACTTGCCGGGACTGGGACGGTGGCAGACCGGTGGTGGCGATGGAAGCAAGAGCAGAGGAAGAAGAAGTGTTGTGAGTTTTAGTTTGGGATCAGCGTCTTCTATGTCTCCTCTTGATCAGATTGCTCTGCTTGAAACCATTCTGAGTCTTTTACCGGAGAAGAGAGGGAGATCTTTCTGCAAGTTCTTGTTAGGTCTCCTTCGTGTTGCCTTCATTCTTGGAGTCGATGGGAGCTGCGTCAAGAGCTTGGAGAGGAAGATAGGGTCGCAGCTGGAGCTCGCAACGCTAGAGAGTCTTCTCATCCTCAACTATTCCGACTCCGAGACGCTCTATAACGTCGACTGCGTCGAACGAATGGTTCGTCATTTCGTCTCATCATCATCGTCATCGTCCTCGCGGTTACAAGACTTCTCTCCTCCATCTTTGGATCCAGAGATGTCTCCTTCTTCCTCAGCGCCGTTGAGAAAAGTGGCTAAGCTCGTTGATGGCTACATGGCAGAGGTTGCGTCCGATGTGAATCTGAAACCGGACAAAATGCGGTCTCTTGCAGCTGCTCTCCCGGAGTCTTCAAGACCCTTGTACGATGGTTTGTACAGAGCGTTTGACATCTATTTCAAGGAGCATCCATGGCTGTCAGATAGAGATAAAGAGCAGCTCTGCAACGTCATGGACTACCAAAGACTCTCCATAGACGCATGCGCTCATGCTTCTCATAACGATCGGTTACCGCTCAGAGTTGTTCTCCAGGTTCTCTTCTTTGAGCAAATGCATCTCAGGACCGCTCTTGCGATCGGTCTCCAAGGTACAGCTCAGACGGGAGAGCGTATAGTTCAGAGAGATGGGTGGGTGACTGTAGTGAGGCAAAACCAGGTTTTGAAAGTGAATATGCAGAGGATGAGGTCAAGGGTTGGAGAATTGGAAGAGGAGTTTGAGAGTATGAAGCAGGAGATGTTGATGAAGAAGAGAGTGAGTAAGTCGTCTAGCTCGGTGAACTCACCTCGTCTTGTCAAGATGGGATGCAAGTTTCTTCTTCCACGAGCCTCTGATGCTAAGATTGAGATAGCTCAGAGCTCTGTGTCAAGCTCGCCTAGATCTGCTGCTGCTGATCACGCACTGCCTCGCCATTCGAAACACCGGAAAAGCTTCTCCCTTTTCGGATAAAATCGAACTCTGAAAACGTTTATCAGAGAAAGAAAGTTCCTTTTCTACATCTTGAGACTTTCCCTCCAGGGAAGTTTCTCCCTTTTCATCGCCGGGAAGACCAAGAGAAGGGCCTAAGAACAGAAAGTGGTCACTTGAAGTTGTGATTCTTTCAGTTTCTGGCGCCTATGTGATCTTTGGTGGTTTTGGGATACGGGTATACGGTAAAAGTAAATTAAATAGAGTTAGGATCTATAGAGCAAAAAGAGGGTATAAATTCTTGTTTGATTTGATATGATTCTCTTTGAATCTATGTACATGTGTTGTTGTGGCTATCTATGTGTAAATCTTGTTTTGTTACCTCGATGTACAACCAGGTTTCTGCTTTGTCAACAAAATAGGCTATTTTTTACTGACTCATATACATTGAAATGTTTTGTTGTTACTCAGAAACACATGGCCTCGAATTATAGCTTTGCGAAAAAAGGAAAAAGAATTAATCGAATTATTTATTGATGAGCTCGATTAATAGTGTTTTCAAAACCGGACCGGACCGGCCGGTTGGACCGGTTCAACCGTGAACCGGAAGGTTATCCGGATTGGTTTACTGCTGAAACCCGGTATTGCAAAAACCCAAAAAAACCGGCTAGAAACCGGCTAAAACCGGTGAACCGACATGAACCGGTGAACCACCAGAATCCGGTTTTTGAAATTGTGAAGTTTTCCCCGATTTTGTTGTGCTTTCGCTGTTATTCCTTATGTTGATTTCATTGATCTATTTGGATATTAGAAAGAAAAACAAAAACTGTAGATGTAAATAAGAAACAAAAAATGGAAGAATGATTTTACAGAATCTTAGAACTTGAGAATAGATAAAAGGAGGAGAAGGAGGGAGAAGAGTCACGATGCTGAAAGAAAGATGGGCGGCTGGCGATTTTTGTGATAAGAAAGTAGGGTTTCTATGACAGCTATATTTTCTATGATTTATGTTTCCCATAAATATATTAATTTCAGTAAACAAATCTTAAAAAATAGCAAATCACATTAATTATAATATATACTTACGGGAATAATGCTATATATGTATACTAATAAAAATATTATATATTTATATTATGAACCCGGTTGAACCGGTTGAACCGAGTTGACCCATAATTCGGAAGCCTTTCCGGTTCGTCTCCCGATCCGATTTTAAAAACATTTAATTATACTCCACCATATAACCAACCCTAAAGTCAAAATAAATGACACGAAAAACAATAACGACTCAGAAATGAACCTTGATATGGGTCATAGAGAAGAATTTGCTGATCTTGTAAGTTTGTATATTATCTCCTCGAGAGATAAAGCTTCAACCTTTACTGTTTTGAACTCCTTTTCTGTAATACATTGTTAATTTGATCCAGCTGTATGTGGAAATCATCTCATCTTGCTCAAATTTCATGTTTCAGGTACCAGCACCAAGAACCTCTAAAGTCGTAGACCAACAAAAAAGATTCAGAACTCAACATATGGAACATGGAGGAGAAGAAGTTGCGGAATCGGATAAGTCTTGTATGTTATATTCCCTTTGATTTTGTTTACCAGTCTGATGAATGATTTCTCTAGGGTTTAGTTCAAATTGAGCCTTAAAGTTTCAACCTTTTGGCTTGTATACTGTCTCAAAACTTTGAGGTTTTGTTGAGGCAATTTTTGTGCTTTGTCTAGGTTATCTGAATGTTCCTGTTTCCTTCAAAGTCTGTTCCTTTGCTGCATACTTGGTAGTTGCAGCAATTTGTTTAATTAATGGATCACAAATCTCATGTTTTCAGGTTCCAAAAAGGTATCAATGGATTGTCTTCCAGATGAGCTTCTCTCCAAATCTTGGCCTTCTCACAGAAGATGTGTTGAAGCTTCGAGGAGTTTCATGCAAGCTCAAGATGCAAGTCATATGTGATCAGCATTATTTATAAGTTACTAGACCAATGCCCACGCATACGCGCAAGTTTTTATTATAAAACAAATTAGTAGAAGACCCGCGCAAACGCGCGGTGTGACGTTGCAAAGTTTTGTGAAAAAAAAACTAAATTCTAAACTCGAGCCCCACTCAAAAACCCTAATCAAAATTTTTAAAAACCCAAACTTTTTTAATATGTCTAAATCCGAAAATTCAAAATCCAAAAAATCTCGAAAACCCTGAACCAAATAAAAAAAAAAACTCTAAATTTTTTGAACCGAAACCCGAACCCGACCTAAAAACCCTAATCAAAATTTTAAAATATCCAAAAAAAATTAATATGTCTAAACCCGAAAACCCGAAATTCAAAAAATCCGGAAAACCCTGAACTGAACCCAAATAAACATGAAACCAAACCGAACAGAAATTTTCGTAAGAACCCGAACAATTTCTATATCTCTATAAAATTAGGTCTGAGATTTTCATCGAACCAAATTTTATTTTTTTGAAATATTAACGTCTAAACAGAAAAATGTGTTAAACGAAGGATTTGTAATTAATGGGCCAAAGATTTACGGTATTGTTTTGTTCCTACTGACGACATGTTCGTTTTGAATTTTTAGTCTTTGTTTTTCTCTTCATTATTTGTTTTCTCCTTAATATTAATGATATCATCCATTCACAGAGTATTAGTCGTTGTAACCAATAAGTATGTATTACCTCATATCATAATTACTTCTTAAGGAATAGATATATTTTTTCAACCCACCACACAATTTCAGCTTTTAAAAATAAGAGGAGGAACTCTTATCAAAATCTGTACTTTCATTTATATATTCTAACTGATTTACAGTAACCAACACGTTCCAAAATTTTATTTGTAGTACAGTATTACACAATTTCAATTATGTTAAGTTTTTTTTTGCAGATTTTTAAGAGGTGGAAAACGGAAATTTTTTAAACCGATGGAAAATGGAAGTTTTTTAAACCATCGGTTTGTTTTAAGTTATTATTCTTGTATCCAAACAATTTTTTCCATTTATTCTTTTATCCAAATAACTTTTTCTCTTATTCTTATATCCAAACATTATAATGTACTAAATTGACCCACATTAAATCTGTTGCCAAACACTTTCTCTTTATAATTAGATTGGTTTTTTGGTCAAAAAATTTCCATGTACTTCTCAATTAATAATATAAAGATTATAAATTTGTGACTTGTATTTTGATATGATATGTACTACTATAATTTTGAAATAAAAAAACCCACAGTTTAATTTCAACTTATTTGTTTAGCAATTGACTTTCAAATATATATTTTTGCATCATACCGCACGTCTTCTCAAAGTACTCTATGTGTTTACTCATCGTTACATAGGATAGATTCTAATTCCTCGTCATCGCTTTTCACTGAATCGGTTTCTCCGTATATTATGATATTTTATATATTAAATAATAACTCAAAATTGAAGCTGAAGAGTAACAGTTTTGGAATAATTAAGTAGTTTTCGTTATAACAAGAGGAATCTCTGAAAGTGACTTATTAGCTTCACCCGTAATGAGTTTGTACTTTATAATTTATTACCTTCGAAACTGGAGAAGACAATGAAAAGTCAATTTTTGTTTTTTAAAACTGAAAATTCTTATTGTCATATGTCATCTTCTACTGTGTCCACATATGCAAAATATGGAGAGGATTGTTTATATATATATATATATATGATTTAATAGTGATTCAAGATGGAACTAAAGCATAATAAATTTAAAGTAAAAAGTGGTTTTAATTATAATAAACTAATATGTTTAACAAATAAATAAAATTTAAAGTTATGAATTGAAAAGAAAATGAAAAGTCATCCATGTGTCAATTAAGAGTGTCCACATGTCACATACAGTAGAAACTCTATAAATTAATAATGTCGGGCATAAGATATTTTATTAATTTAACGAAATATTAATTTATCGAGAGATTATTGGATTAAAAACTTAATTTGGGATCATACAATTTTATTGATTTATCGAGTTATTAATTTATGGAATATTAATTTATAGAGTTTCTACTGTATATGGAGAGAGTTGGTCTATTTTCATATATGATTGTATTTTCTTTAAAAATTTAATAAGAAGGTTTTTGTTTTGTTTTATTGATTTAATTTAATGATAATAGAGAAGAAAACATAAAATTTTTGAAGAAAACATATTTTCAGTGATTTAATGATGATAAAGAACATAACATTTAGAATATGTGTAACCAAACGCAACCCAAAGAAAATTCCTTTTCTACATCTTGAGACTTTCCCTCCAAGAAGTTTCTCTCATTTTCATTGCTCTGTTTCAATGGAAGAGGGCCTAAGAACAGAAACTGGTCACTTGAAGTTGCGTTTCTTTCTGTTTCAGCAAAGTACTCTTACTCTTACCATCAAGTTTTTGGTACTTTTGTGATCTTGGTGATTTTTGAGATATGAGTTGATGTAAGTCAGGTTTCATCAAACTCTTTAGACCTCTGCAAGTGCACAGATTGTAGAAGTATGGGTATCAAACACAAGGACTAACAATTGAGTATACTTTGAAGATATACATTTCGGATCAAGCTAAAACAATAGTATTGATTTTTGAGAATGTAATTGTAATTGTAACTAAAACTAAACAAGTAAACAAAGTTGTGAATTCAATGGGAAGAAAGCGCTAGGTCAACAGGGACTAGTCGCAGAGAAGCAAACAATGATCAAGATTCAGTGATAGATAATATGATTTAGAGATATTGGGATGATAAAGCCGCCTAGAACACAGAACACAAATATAAAATCTTTCCACTGTCGTGGCTCCGGATCCTATGATAACCTATCTAATCGCTAAACTTTTGGTATGTCCTTAGATGGTTATTCAACCATTAGATCGAGCAAGTTCTGATTCAGTTCACTAGGTTAAGTAAATCAACTGTCGCAGTCTAACAAACCTAACTTGATAAAGAATATGTCTGGCGAATGATACATCATTGTCGTGACTCAAATCAACCTAAGATTGGATTACTATATGCACAGTAAAGTAATCAGCATTATTTTGGTGAACAAGACGAGAGAAAGACTAAAGAAATCCCTAGTTAATCATCGATATCATAGATCATGCAAGTAACTCATTGATTAGTAACCCCAACAACCTAACTAGTGGATTACTCAGAAATGATCAAAGCAGTAACACAAAGAGATGAAGAAAACATCATAGATTAATAAAGGTTTGGAAAACTTCTCCAAATTGAAGTGTGGAGGAGAGATCCTCTCCTTGAAATCTCTTGAACAAAATTTTAAGTGTAAAAATGTGATACAATATGGGACTCTTCTTCTCTTTTCAATAGGCTAAAAAGTTGTATTTATAATACTAGGTCTTCCAAGACGTATAATACTAGGTCTTCCAAGGCGGCATTAGGTTAGTCGGCCGTGAAAACGTGTGAAACGGTTTTCAAAAACAGGTTTGGGTCGACCAGACCGTTCCGACGGTCAGTACGATCATGGCCAGATGATTGTACGTTCAATCGTCGGGATCGGCCGAACGGATGGTTTGGTTGTATGTTCGGGCCGGACGCGGGATGTTGGACTCATGGTCGAACAGTGTGGTCGTGCACGGTACGCGGAATGTGGGAAGCGGGCAGGTCAAGCACGGAACGATGCTTCCCGGTTCAAACGGTGCGATGCTGGGCGCTAGATTGAAGTGGGTCGACTGTGGGATGATGCTTCCTGGGTCGGTTCGCGTGTTCGGCTGCGTGCTATGCTGGATAGGTAATTGCGCGCTGCCCGGCACGACTGCGGGACGATGGTTCCCGGGTCGGCCGACGCGCACGGTCTTGGTGCGGCATTGTATGTTGCGCGGATTCGGCTGTCAGGACCAGTCTTCACTAAAACGATCATAACTCCATTTCTACTCACCCAAATGATGTGAATCCATTTGCGTTGGAGAGTTGACTCACTTAGGACACGCGGTAAAGTGGTCTTGATAAAATCCCACTACAAAAAAGTGGTTATTGTTACAATTTGATGATGCGGTATGAAGCAGGATGAAGTCCAAATCTTGTAGTTTCGTTCTAAAATGCATCATTCGACCTGTATAGATTCTTAATACTATAAATCCAATAAAATTACATTTTTAGATTGAAAATATATTAAAAACCATTAGAAAATTATACTAAAATCGTATAAAAAGCATGTAAAATAAAGATATATCACAAATATACAATAAAAATGTAGTGCAGCGACTCACACACGAAGATCTGGTGAAGCTTCAAGGCTTCATACAAGCTCAAGATGCAAGTCATATGTGATCAGCATCATTTATAAGTTATTGTACATCTTCAAAAATAAAATGAGAAGCTTCTTTTTGTTTTGTTTGTTTTAGTGATTTATGGTGATGATAAAGAATGAAAAAAAAAATATACATGTGATTTTAAATCAAAAGTAAAAGAAATGAGTTTTTTTTTGAGAAATTTTGGAATCATACTTTAATATCAGTTTTCATTTTGAAAAATATTTTAGTTTTTTTATGTTTTGAAAGTTACCCTTTTTATATGTAAAAATATTAAATTATCCTAATTTGAATTTTCGAACTAATTTTATTAAAACTATATTTAATTAATAAAATTAAAATCTAAATAGTAAATTTGATTTTGATTTTTTTTTTCATTTTAAACTGATAAACATTTTTATTTCCTAATTATCTGCTAAAAAGTTTTGTATTCTTTTTTGTAACTCAATATTATGGTCAATGATGAACATTATATTATACAATTTCTCTTTTTGTTTTTTAGTAATTTGTGATTTTAAATTATTTTGATTAGTTGTAAAAAAAAGAAATTAAAAATTATCTTGATCCGGACCAACCATAAACTCAATTTATTAATACAAAAAAACAAAATTTAAATTTTTAAACCAATGGATTGAAGAGAATCGCATAGATTTTTGACACGTGGTTTCATCTTAATGCAAGTAAAAAGCGATTCCTATACACGCGAGAGTAAGCGCAGGAGAGAGGAATGAAAGAAACGACGTTATAACGAAATTTGACTAATATACCCTTTATAAGAAAGTGCTCTCTTCTTCACAGCTTGTGGAGACGAACCAGTTCCTGCGATCACTCAAAAACGCTAAAATCTGTTACAATCTCGTCTCTTTTTCTTCTCTAAGAAACTTTTTAGAATTTCCCATGGATTAGAGGAAGCAGCTTCTTTCTTCATCGTCGGCTACAACAATTCCCTTTCTTCTTTGGTAACAACTTCTTTATCTCTGCAATTTCCAATCGATATCGTAAAATCCCGTTGATTTCGTTCTGCAAATTTGGATAATCTTTGGGTTCCAATGCCAATTTTTCTCTGAACTTTACAGAGCAAATTTCTTTGAAAAATGGATTAGACGAAGCCGTTTAGCCTACAACAATTCCGATGTTCTTCTTTGGTAACATCTCGTTCCTCGCTAAAATTCCCAATTGATTCCGTACAATCCCGTTGATTTCGTTCTGCGATTGCTGCAATTTTTTTTCAATTTTTGGGTTTTTCTTTCTTAATTCAGTTCCGATCAATTTCAGATTAGGTTTTTCCGATTAGACTCCATCACCGGAAAACAATCATCTCTTCTCCTGTGGTAACTAAATTGTCTCTCTCTCCGATTAGAATTTCAATTGTGCTTATGTAACTTCTTTGATTTATTGCATTTCCCAATTGGAACTTTCAGAATCTTTTATCGTATTTTGGTTGAATTGCAGATTCTGCCAAATGGCTGGTGAAGATGAAGATGTGATTTTAACTGTGACGTCGAGGCTTCATCGTCAGTGTCGTCTTTGGTACTGCATCAGAGAGCGAAATCCGATTTACTGTAGTGCACATCACGCTCAAGTTGCTGCAACTGAGAATGGTATTCCACGCGCTCCTATGTACAAGGGCCACGTCAAAGATATCATCTCAGATGTCTTTCAGAAAGTTTTTACAGCGAGTTGCAAGGTGAAATAACTGGAATACCCATGATGGCTATTAATTTCTTGGGTGCTGTACCGTGGTGGGCTCATAAATGCAGGTATAAATTTTTTACATAAAATATTGTTTCTACATAAAGTATTGTTGTTTCTTAGTTTGATTGGTGTTTGACGTGTGTAGAAAACTTTAATACGGAGATGGAGGATGGAGAAAGAAACCTCGCATGGGCTTTCTTTTACCCAGCTATGGACATACCTATTCAAAATAAAAGGAATGGCGGCAGTAAGTGGAAGGTATCTGGGAAAATAACTACACTTCCTGATCATTTTGAATCTCGCAAATGGGTGTGTGCTCCCCAGCCCAACAATGGAAGATGGAAGCTGACAATGTATTATCGCACAGGTGAAAATCCTGTTCCATGGACACTTTGCTTCATCCAGTTTCTCTCAACAGCGTAGATCTGGAAAACTTTTCCACAAGACAATGATTAACATTTTAGAAATTGTTTTTTTTCTCCGGTGCAAATGTGAACATATCTTTAGATATTGTTTGGTTTTTTTTTTTTTTTCAGATTCTCTTAGTTTTACTTGAATTTTTCATTATCCTCTTTTAAACCAATTTGGGAAGAAACTTCTTTTATAATGATGAAGCATCAACAAACCAAATGTTTTACTGTAACTCTATGATCATCAATAAATGTTTCTCCATTATGCGATCTCTTTAATTTTAGTTACAGCTACGTCCAAGTCTGAAACTACAAAATTAGAAGAGACATGCATATCACAATTTACAACACATGCACGGACCCAATAGTTTCCCAAAAACCAAATTAAGAAATCGAACAAAAGACAACAAAAACCGATACGCTTATTAATTGGACAAAAAAAAAATAACAAAGAAAAGAGTTTCTAGCAAATTCTCTTTACCTAACATTCGATTTTTTGTTTTTTATGGTTTGTGGGCTCTGAACATATAACAAACAGTTTAACAGACAATCGAGTACTAAACTAAGTCTTAGTCGAATCGAAACAATTCTATTTTATCCTAATATTGGAAAAGGAAATTAAATACTCCAACTAAGAGAGTTATTCTTATCAAAGCTAAGTGTTTGATCTAAGGAGTTCTTCGATCTTAAGATCTTTTACTCCAAACTGTAAATATTTTATTCTTTGTTCGATCTTAAGATCTTTTACTCTAATATTTTATAATTACTAGGTGTTTTACCCGCGCACGCGCGGGTTCCGTTTTAATATTTGTAAATAAATCTTATGTCCTCTTTATTTTAATTTTATTCAATAATATTAAGAAAATGTATGATTCAATTAAGAATATTTGTATATCAAGTTCGAGTCATCAATTTTTTTTTGTTTCTTTGATAAGAGATGAAAATAATAGTTTCATTTATTAAAAAAAGATTTTTAAAATGCTTCACTATTTTTCAATTTTTGTTTATAATTTTTTTTAATAAACTTTTTTTTGTAATATACTTTTAATTTTTTTTACCTAACCAATTTAATTATTTTTATAAGTAGTCATAATAAGTAAGATACCTTTTAAAAATATTTTTTGTCATAAAAACATACAACAGCCCAATCCTCAAATTTCTTAAACTAATCCCTTAATTTTACTATTCATTAGACAATTTTTTTTATATCCAATAAAGGTTATCTGGCAAACTTATCCAATATTAGTCTAATACATATTTTAGTTCTTAATTTATTTTTTAATTTTATTTATTTGTTTAGCTTTTCCAGCTATGAATTTATGATTTATACTTAATTTTTTTTGTAATTTTAATTATGTTGCATTTAATTCCATCAATAAATTCATCTCTTTATTTTTAAATCACTGTTTTTGTATTTAAAAGTCTTATATCTAGAAAATAAAATAAAATATAAATGTATTTTACAGATCATTAAGGACGGGAAGAAAGGAATCAGAAAGATCAGGAGTAAAAAAATTTTTTTTTAATTGTTTCATATGATATAATCGTGTTAAATGTATTCCCACTTTTTCCATATCATATGGCTTCTTCTTCTTCCCGTGGTCATCATCTTTTAATTGTTTTTCCAATTCCCGGTTAAATTCTTTTGGTTTGTTACGGTTCGATTTTCCTATCTCATAGAAATTAGAAATGCTTCATTTCTTTTTCTTTCATTTACCGACCACAATCGAACAATATTTCTTCTTCCTTATTCCCACCGGAACCATCTCATCATTTAGATCCCTCTTCTTTGTTGCTAATCTTGTTATTACCAGGGGAGAGCTCACGCTTCTTCTTCTTTTCGATCTCCTTCGACTCTCGCTCTGAATTTCTCAATTAACTTAGGTACCAATCTCGAATTTCCCCTTTATCGCCGATTGATGGTTTGATTTTTTGGTCAAATGATTTTCGATAACGTCACCGAGTTAAATTTTGGGTTTTCTCGGTGTTTGCTAGTTTTGTTGATGTTTAATCAGTCTATGTTTGTTTCGGTTCGGTTTAGCTATCAATTTGATATTTGAAATATCTCGTTGGTTTTGTTTTCTGTTCATATGGAGCACAACTTTTCTTCAATGGCTTTAGTCAACGACTTCGTTTTAAAGTCATCAAAATCACTGTTCTTGGCATCTCATCATCCCCTTCCCTGAGTTTCGATGCTTCTTTCTTCTCCTGATTCTCAGCTAATGGCTTCGATGAAGGTTATGATTTTCCGTATTTTCAATCTTTTTTTGCTGATATCCAAATGGTGTATTTTGTTTGTAATCTAATTGTCCGGATGCGAATTGGTGATAAATGTATAACTCTAGATTTCAATCGTAGGTGAATTAGGGTTTGGGTAAGCTCGGTAGAGGTACTTGAGGTAGAGGAGAAGGCTGAGGGGAGGAGGAGGAGGAGGAGGATGGAGAGAGACGGTTCAGCCATATCAGTGGAGACGGTGGAGGAGTAGATCGGAGAAGGTGAGAGGAGGAGAAGGAGGTCTCTCGAGAGATTTTTCGGTTTCGCTCAGATGGGTTTTTAACTTTTTTTTGCTTTTCGTTCAGATAGATTTTTCTTTTTTGTTTCTCAGTATAAACAAAAAGTCATAATGGCTCTAATTGTAATTTTTTCTAAGTGTTAGGCGCCTATGACTGAAAAAATTAGGCTCCAAAACTATTTTTAGTTCCCGCTTAGTAAAATTTTGGCTTAGCATTTTTAAAATGCTATAATATATTTCTTCAATCCTGTGTATCCTTTTTAATAGCATTTAGGTAAATCGTGCTATTGTGATGTGCTATCAATGCTAACTTTTTTTGTAGTGTGAGACTTACAGCTGTCGAGTTTTAGAGCGTTTTCTCCTTTCACTGGTCGTTTTTAATAATATTTGAAATCTCTTCTCATTGACTTTACCCCTTTTTGTTTGGTTTTCTTGTTTTTACAGAGATCAAACGTCCTTAGCCTTCAGGTTCAATTTTTTTCTTTAAAATCCTTTGATTAAGTACCTTCTGATCCATGAGAAGGAGTTCTACACCCATGAGTAATCCGCCTTTTCTAACGTTTCGTGCCTCCCAAAAGTGGATGACTCTGACAAGCAAATCATTATTTTGAAACCTTTTTTTAGATCATCGAAAACCAAAGTATGGCTTAACTGATTAGAAACAGAAGAGCATGAATTTGCCATGGCTTATAAAAATCGATTGAGAGATGTGAATGTATATTATGAACTTGGTTTCATGTGGCAATAAGACCACGTATATATAGGATTTAAGATCATCTTATTCCTAATGGAAAAAGGAATCAATGTATATCAATGTCATTGTACAATAAGGAAATTAGAGAAGTGATAATTACAAAAATAGGAACTATCCAAATCCTAATCTTTATCAAACAATATCCAATTTGTTTTTCAAGAATCTTCTAGACTAAAACGAAATAATGAAACCAAGAAATAAATTTGGAAGAAGAAATAAGAAAAAAATGCCAAGAAGCAATCTTATATTCGCCAGAAATTAAAGCAGCCGAATTGTACAGTCAAATCACAAGACTTATCTTAGTAATAGATTCCGAATTTCTCCATTTTTGGTCTAATACTCCCTCAACTGAAGTTGTACTGAAGCTTCAAACTTGCAACAATGCGAAATAGGGAGTTTAGGGCAAAATAAATCCAATTCGATTTACGAAATCTGGAAATGAAGAATGAATTTTTGTTGTTTGACGGTGGAGAGAGAGAGAGAGTTTTGTGAGATGCAGTTTTAGGGTTTGTAGAAAAAAGGGGAAGAAGATGTAGCAGATCCCGTTTTGGAGATGCCGATGTCTGATTTTTTTTTTTTTTTTTTGTGGTAACCTAATGGCAATGTCCATATAATTATTTTTGAAACGGTTTAAAAAAAAAACAGGGGACTGCAAAGGATCGAACTCAATACCTGTTGAGTTTAGGACAATTGTGATAACCGCTACACCATAGCATCTTTTTGGCTGAATAGGAAATTTATTTCTATAATTACTTAAAACATGTGTAAATTTTCCACTAAAAAGAAACTAATACTAATAATATATGTAAATTTAGATAATCTATGAATATGAAACTTATAATTCAGTTCTCGAAAATTGTAAAATCAGAGAAATTATCTTTACTGAAAATTAATTAATAAATAATATGTAAAATAGAAAATTTACATAAATTAATTTAAAAGCAAAAAAAAAAAATAATGACATGACCAATCAAATTCAACCTTTTAAATCCTAGGTGGACAGCCTCTAATGCATATAGGCTCAACTTAAAATAGAAAATTTACATAAATTAATTTAAAAGCAAAAAAAAAAAATAATGACATGGACCAATCAAATTCAACCTTTTAAATCCTAGGTGGACAGCCTCTAATGCATATAGGCTCAACTTTTATTAGTAACTAGGTATTTTACTAATTATGCATATAGGGTTTCATTTTTATGTTTAAAAAATAAAAAACACATTATGAATTTTCTAATTTTCAAAAAAATTCATGGAAACAAATTGTTTATTTTTTTTTTCTTTTTAAAATATTTTTAAACGTTATTTTATAATTATAATTTCTTATTTTTTGATTCTTTATATTTTAAATTGTAATGAATTATTTTCTTGTATAAGTAGTCACGGTAATAAAAAGAATTTTATTTATGATAATTTCTGAATAAAAATATATTACAAATCTTTCTCATATTTTTTCGTAAGGCATAAAGACCGATCACCGGAGAAATTACGTTAATCCTTAAAGTTTATCTTCCTATTGTTTTCAGTGGAGTATACATAATCAAATCTCTAATTTTCAGTTCAGAAGTCTGGTTTTATCATATTTTGGGCTTAGTCATCACTATGAAATTAAAAATTCATTACTTTCGTCTTCTAGATGCAAATATGAAAATTCAAAAATGAAACTCTTTTGCCACTGTGTTTTCAAAAATCTTAACTTAAATCTCACTTCAAAACCAATTTCGTCGAAATCCTATTATCACTCTACC